GAGCCACAACAAAGCCACGGACAGAGCAGTGGGAGAAATCAGCGACGGAAGCAGACAGCAATCCAGCAGCTTGGGGTCAATGCACGGCATGTGGTGCAACGACTGAAAGGCAAAGCTTACAATGGATGATTTGCACGAGGGCACAATTCTGAGAGCTCCAGCTTATCCTAAAGAAATAACTGTGCCATTCTGAAAAAACTTACATTTCATGCTTTTGTCTTCATCAACCACACTGATGCTGCAGGAGAGAGAAAAATGACAAACAGAATGGGGCAGAAAGAAAGACGTGTTCTGTTGCTTTAGCAGAAAGAAGTGCAAATCTGGAGTGACTGCAAAGGTTTGAGTGGCCAACAGGTGCTGTGTGACTGCGTGCTCCAGCTGGCTGCACTGCTCCTCATCCAGAGATTGCAGCAGGGCTCGCCCTTGGCCAGAAAGGGAAAACCACCAAAGGCAGGGAAGGTCCTTTCAGTACCCACATCAGGTTAATAAGAGAACATCACAGGGCCGCTCAACCTCCAGCTTTATTGGCTGGGGGTTGGTTGTAACTAAGAACAGGAAGGAGGCATTTCCAGCTCATTTTGCCTTGTGAGCCCCAGGCTGCCAGGAGGAAGGATGGAGCTCAGGAGCAGCTTTCCCTGCCTGCCCTGTTGGGTGTTCCCCTTTGAAGGCACCCAAGCGGCCGCTCACTCACCTGTTCTGTAGGCTTGTCTTTAAAGCAATGCTTTCCACCCTTCCAGCTCAACTACAGAGACATGCAATTAATTAAGCAAGTTAGTGGTATATAATTCCAGCCTTTTATTTCTACTGGGCATTAGAGCAGGACACACGTCCTGTCTGTAGCAGGATTTTGGAGGCTCCACAGAAAATGCTGTACTTTACAGACCGATCTGATAGGGTTTGTGCAACACCAGCCCAGCCTGTGTCAGAGGAAACCAAATAGCTTTCAATTAAGGGAACCTAACAGCCCGTGCTGCTACTGTGCTGTATGCAGCTGGTGCATTAAACCTTTGTTCTGACATGCTTTTTTTTTTTTTTTTTTTAATGACTTTTTATGCTCAAATGAAGAGCAAGCCTGGAAGTGAATTTTAAGTGGACTGCCTCCAAATTGGACAGGCTAACAAATCTTCATTTGTTAACAGACAAATGGACCCCTACTGGCCAGATGGCTGCAACGCTGCATAAGAAATGCATTGAAAGCTGCTCCTAGCAGTAGTATCCAAACACCACATTACTGCTTCCCAAATATTTTCCTGGGCTACAATGTTTGTAAACCAAGTCCTCTCTTCTTGCAAAGCGGCCAGGAACATTCTCAACAGTTTTAGTTCTTAATAACAAAAAAAAAAAAATTTTTTAAATCCCCACATAATTAAAAAAAATTACGGAGAAAAGATGACAAGGAATCTATCCTAATATCATGGCTCTCCCATTTCCACATAGTGTGTGTGCTGTTTGTTTTCATTCTTGAAGCACAGGATTTTATAGCTGTAATTACCTCATTTTCTCATGGTACAAACAGTCCAATTTTTATTCATTTTGGTAGCATTCTCCCCCTGGTTTTTCTTCCCCCTAAAGCTTGCTATTAACATCAAATACAACAGATCCATACAATCAAAATACCTGTTCGGAGAGAGATTCATTAATAAATTGTATTTTCAAATCAGCTTAGAGCAGAAGTGTCAATATGAAATTGAGTAACGAGAGGGAATGATGCTTTAACTCCTTTCTGAAGTTTGAAGCATATGATAGAGGTTTTATTTTTAAATTAATATCATTTAAAAGATACAGTTTCTCAACCATAGCCTTATCTTAAAAGATTTCCGTGCAAGAATTTTCCCCATAATCTGGAGGGAATTGATAGGTAATGTCCAACCAAGCAGACCCTAGAAGTAAGGAGGTACTTCATGGTCAGCTGGCTATGAAATCCCTGTAGCTGCCTGCAGCCCTGCATGCAACCCTGCTGCTTCAGGTCTAAGATTTCTTTATGTGTTTAAGGATGAGGAGCTGCACCCCAGTATTTATCAAGGAAGACAGTGCTGGGCTGTGCTTCTGCCCTGCCTAAACAGCACCTGTGCCATTTCCCCTGCTGGGAAGCAAGCTGTAGCACCTGCAGGTGCAAAACCTGTGGTCTTTGCAGAGCAAGCAGAGGGTGAAAGCTGTTCCCCCTCACAACCACCTGAGGTCGGCAGAAAAAAGAACTTCTGAGAGCCCGGCGGCAGGGAAAGGTCAGGAGCAGGGTATTATATTCTGCATGTTTGGATTAGCACACAATGGTTAAATAAACTGACTTAATATCTAATGACATTTTCAAACAATAGCTCATAAAATTATCCAAAGTATGCAGAAACAAAACATGCAGACAAACACCATTGTGGTCCCTAAGACACCCACCCAGCAGTGCGTTTCAGTGCTCTGGCCGTGCAGATTAGAGGTCAGGTATAAATGAGCCTGAGTGAAAAATCTCCTGAACAGAGAAGACAGAAGCACTCCTTCCTGCCCTGCCCATTATTATCACTCCCACTCGTATGCCACAATCACTTTCTGTCCCATGCTTTCAGCATACAACCGTGTTTTTGGAAACAGAATCACTGTGTTTCAAAAAAAAATAAAAAGCATGTTTCTGAAATGAATCACAAGCTCAGAACGCTGCCAGAAAGCTGGGTTAGCAGGTCTGAGGGATTGTCACTAAAACCACATCAGCATCCTGAGTCACATCAGCTGGGGAAGGCTCTGTGATGGGACAGATGCTATCGCTGCTCTCCCACTGCTCTGCACTGCTCCATACCAGTGGAGCTGGCATTAGGATATTACACTCAGGCACCTGTCTCAGCAGCTTGAGCTGCTTGTGAGGCACCCTACAAAAGTACACCTCCGTGGTCCTTTCTGAAACCAAACTGCTGATGCTGCAAGCAGGGCTGCCAGCTTCACCACAGCCCATGGGAGAAGCTGTTTGAAATGCCCAAAGCAGTCACTGCTGGTGAAGGATTAGTGTGCAACCACTGGGCTGCAGCTCAGGTACAAGTGCTCTCCTTAAAGGGGCAACAAGCTGTGCTCATACAAAAGACATCTCTAAAGCAACTCATCTGATATTTGCTGAGAAATCTTGCTTGCTTCAGCTGATTTGCAAATACAGTTTATTTATTTTAGGCAATTACCAAAGCATTTTGGGGCACATTGAGCCAAATATGAACTTGCTGAATTCTCATACTAAGATAAAACACAGATAACACAAGTCCTGAGTGGATTCCCTTCATGTTATTTCTTAGTTCAACACTTATACTGAAAAACAGGAAAAAGCATCCATCAGTGACTGCAAGCATCTGTGCAATGGAACAAGGAGATACCTGCCCACACTGCAGCCTCTCTGTCGCATACCAGGTGATGGGCTGTTTGCAAGCCTCTGAAGGCACCATGATTTCAGCTTGGACTAAAAGCACACTGAGGTTCTTACAACTCTTCCAGTTAAATAACTATTCCTTATGGACAACTTTACATGGGAGCAAAGTCCAGACACACACCCACTAATTTACTGATGCCACAGTGATGCTTCAACAAAGCCACTTCAGCTCACAAGAGTAACACCCCAGCAACCACAGTCCTCAATAAGTACTTTTATGTTACCCTTGTGAATTGCTTAATCCACCCTAAGCAGTGACTCTACCTAAAGCTGAATTACTGTATCAAGCACTCCTAAAAGATCAACCTTGGTGAACAAAACCGAACAGAACTTATTTGTCTTTGTCTCACTTAGCTTCCACAAATAGAAAATCAGAGCAGAGCTGCCCGTCAGTTTGTAGCAGCTGTCAGAGATGACAGCACCTCAAACACGCCGTGCCTCCATCTTTGCAGCACCACAGAGCAGGGTGCAGACATGTATATGTCTATTATGTACACATTCGTCATTCATTTTAGGTGTCAGCTCCTTTTGGGTTAATAAAGTAAAAGCATCCACTGCGCTTCTCTGCTGTGGGCAGGGAGAAAAATATAAATTAATTCTTCATTACAGTTTTACAAAGCAAATTATTTAGCGGCAATTTGTATTCCAGCTAAGATAGAATCATGATATTACACTCTTTTTATTCAAATGAAAGGAATTTACATTTACCTACAATCTCATTAAAGTAAGAATGATGGAGTGGAGCATTTTCCTTTTTTTTTTTTTTTTTTTTTTAAATCAAAGTGTTCTTTCTGAATACTTAAAATAATTCTGAGGTTTATACTTTAGTATTTTTTCAAATACAGGTTGGCTCTGATTCAGGTCTAATGCAGCTTTCTGTTTAAACTCCCAGGCCAGCTGGGTGCTGCAGGCTTCTGCTGCGCAGCAGTGCTTTGCAGAGCTGGGCAGGGTTTGGCTCCTGACAAATACAGCTGTGAGAGCAGCTCTAAGGGAAGTTCAGCTCACTATGACCAGGGTTTGCTATGCTGTTAGCACGCACAGCTTTGCAGAATAGCTACTTCCCTGGCAAAAAGTCCTTTCTGGTACAAAAGCAGCTCCTCCAATGGATGCAGACACTATTTGTTGCTAGTTATGCAACTCCAGCAAGGGCTGGGCTATTCCTGAACCACAGTCACATCCTTCCAGTTCGTACTTCAGAAACAACAACAAAACCCTCGCGTGGTCACACGGTGGCACACAGAACAGAGCTCCTGGCAGCACTGTGCCCTGTGACCAACACCCCTGCACCCCTCCGACGTAACCGCGCCGCGACATCGCTGCGGTTTTGCAACTGCCCTCTCCGCCAATAGCAGCGTGCAGCTGAAGCTTAAAGGATTATGTGTATGTATGTGCAGGGGAAGTCACATGTAAATACAGACTCGGTGCCATGAACAGGGCTGGTGCAGCCGTCAGCGGGCTGCTGCTAAGCCTCCCTATTGTTTACTCTTGCTAGAGAAATGAGAGGTCGGAGTTTCTGCTGAGCTTACCTTGGAAGGGTTCTGACTTGATGGACAAAATGTTTCTGCCAGCCTTCAAGGAACAGCAGGGCAGTGCCTACCAGGTGAGATTCTTAATAGTTCGCCTTCTGGAATGCTTTTGCTTTTTTTCTGAGTCTGGGAACAATTCATGTTAATGCATACGAGCTCTGGGTTAGTGCAAACGAACAGCTGCATCGTTACAAACCAGTGGTCAGTTTTTAGAGAGCAGTTCTTCAGGAAAAACGTTGATGTAGAAATGTGCCATGCTACTGCTTAGATCTGCTCGTCCAAAGGAAAGTCACAGTGGGCTTCCTTGGGCACAGCAGTTTTCACTCTCTTACTCATTATGCTGGGCTTTTCATTTACTGCTTCTTCTACATATGTGTTCTAAGTTTTTCTTACTAGTTACTAGATCTTAATTTTTTACTTTATATTAAATCCTGAATGGTACGGCAGAGATATAGCAGAGCAATCGATCAGATATTACTCTGATTAGTCCTTAATAAAGAAGCAAAGTTGCCAGGGAAAGTGAGATACTTGTGAATCTTCTATTCGTGGCACAACAAAAAGGCACGCAGCAAACCATACTGTGAAAAATTACTGCAAAGCAGCTAAAAGACACTGCTAATTAACTAATTAATTACAATTAAGCTGCATTTTCATTTATATTATAAAAGAAGGTAAGCCAAAAGCAAACATCAAAGCACCAAAAATTTCCTGCTTTCAGCAGAAGCTCTGAATAAGCAGAATGACTGCTGTCCTTTTCAGCCTCCATAAGCATTTTTAACTATGCTAATCACCACAATATTTGAAATCTGTTTTCTACTGCACTTAGCACAAGACCTACTTCGCTTTAGGGCTCTGCCTGCTGAACTTTACGTCCCTTTTCTATAAATGCTAAAGCAGCACAAAAAGGCAGCACGCTATTTCTTACACCAGCATCACATTCTGAACGTATTTGATTGGCCCAATGATTGAAGCCAAAGCAGCACCCTATGGATTCCAACAGAATTTGAATCGATTTTGAAATTATGAAGGAAAAAAAAAAAAAAGTTAATCAAATGTCTGGACAAAGTGATTCATGGGGACGCCTGCCTTCATGATCTGTACATCAGAATGATTCACTTTAGCTGCTCACTTCAGGGTCTGAACAGCACATACGCCTTTATCAGAATATCAGTGTGTTTTCCACAGCAGCTAAAACACAGTGCTCACGTACTTGAGGATGGACCAGTCAGCTCCAGTGACCTCCTACAAACAGTGGTGTAGTGTTGGTGTGCTCCCTGTATCTGTGAGCCATGTAACAACAACCATGTATCAATCATTACTAAGAAACTGGCTCCGTGACAAACTAATTACTCCTCAGGCTTCCACCCATTAGCACAGAAGGAAGCAGACGCTCAAGGTGCATTTATAATCAAGGCTTTATACAGCTCTGCAGTAACAAAATCTGCTACAGAGGTTGTGCTTTGGAAGATTTCTTAAAATGTATACACCTAAATCTGCTCAAAGGACAAATAATTGTTAACTGCTTAATGGTACTTGAATCACTACAATTAGTCAGCAGTAGCCTTTATTTAATGTCATTTATTGGGCTGTCTTCCCAAGGACATGTAAAAACCCTAATCTGTGCTTCTCAAAATCCTGTGGTTTGGACAGAATGTGGGCTAGCAGGTGTCACAGTAGTACCCTCACCATAAGTATTTCACTGATGTTTCTGCAATGAGGGACTCCACACAGAGAACCCTGGGTTACAGAGACTCAAGACTCCTTTGCACACTTCTCTCCCCCCATGACCTGCTTTTGGTTTCTGCCATTGGAAACACCTGTGCAGCCTCATACTGATACCCACAGAAGGACTGCTAAAAATGCCTGAGGAAGCAACTCCCACCTGCACACCCATGAAGGCACACCAAGCACTGCCACGTCTCCAGTGCCCAGCAAACGTCCTACAACAGACAGCCATCAGGGTCAGCGCTGCCTCCTTGGTGTCTGATGGATTGTTCCATACACGTAGGGAGCCCTATAAGCGATTAACACTATCAATCAACTGAAAATGTTGATGAACAGCAGGCAAACCACCCAGCACTGGTGTAGTGGAGAGGGGAGCTGCAGCAGACAAGCAATAGGTGGCCCAATCTGAGCCTTTTGTGCCAATGAGATGCCCTGTTTAATTTGAAGCTCCTTTTAAATGAAACTCCTACTCCAGATCTTCGTAAGTACAGTCATCCTAATGTCAGCATTAATATTGTACTAGCCCTCCTTAAAACCTTCAGTTAAAATACTGTATTCAGCAATCACAAGTGAAGTAAAACTAAATCAGTAAATATGCCAGTTCATCTCAAGGAGGCAGCTGGAAAATGGCATTTCCTTCATTAAGCAGAAGAAATCAAAAGCCACAGGAGTGTCAGGAACAAGAGGTCTCAGACTTTAGCTGACAATTATCAGGAAGGTATCTGTTTATCATCAACGGATGTCATTTCAAATGACAAATCTTGAAGTCATTTCAGCCATAGTAGAGCTCTGCTAAGGGGCAGACCATTCTCTTCGAACTCCAAACTCAAACCAGTTTCATACTTATTGTTATCTTGGAAAGAGCTATGTCAATATTTCTGCATTTACGAGAAACCTGCTCCTGGCAGCCTGAGTGTTTCACAAGAGATTCCTCTGCAGCCAACACGATGCCTTATTGATCAGTCAAGGTGTTGGCTTTCACATGTGCCTCTAGTAGGAAATGGCATGATGTTAGAGCTTCCAGGAAAACTACCATCTGTGCTTCCTGCCAATCAGGCAGGAGAATACCTGCAGGGAATGCTTCCATGCTGCCAGCTCTGAGCAGCGTTTCCCATCACAAGCCCTGAGCATGGGAGAAGCCAGCAAGGAGAGTTAAGATAAGAGCTCGCTCACAGCCATCCCAGCAGGATCCCTGCCTCTCACACTGCTCTGCAGCAAGTTCAATCCACAAAGAATAGGGATAGTTCACACTAATTTTGATAGGCAAGGACTGGTTTTCTTTAACAGAGTGATGCTGATTTAAATCGTAACTCTCAGCTCATACACACTGCTTGCTCCTGCAATCCTGAGCAATGCTGGAGATTCAGAGATCCAACCACATGTAAATTTGCACCTATGATCTAAGTGGAGATATTTAGCATAAAGATGCTTTATAATTTTCTCTTTCCTCAAGTTTATATATATATATGTCTCCATGATCTGATCTTTACACACACACACAAAAAGAACATCTGTGTTTCAAATGCTGGTAGCCACTATCTCAGCTGATCCATGCAATGCACTCTGCTGGGCAGGTTGGCCTTCCTGTACGAGCAAAAAGAGACCCCACCTCACAGCACAAGACATTCGCTGTGCATTAGGAGCTGCACTGCTCGCCCTGTGGCAAAGCCCTCCCCATCACACACAGATGTTACAGACAAGGGATGGTGAGATTTCCACACAGAGGCTCTATCGGAATTCAGAGATAAAGCAAAGTCAGGAAGAGGTGGAGCATTAGAGCAGTCAGACTCACTCATCTGATATTTGGGCACTCAGATAAGGGACAGCAAGCAAGTGACAGACTTAACCCCTGCGGAGCCCTGGGCAGCTGCTGCTGAGCACGCAGAGCACTGCTGGCAGTGCAGCTCCTGCTGGGGCTGGGTTCTTAACTGCATGAAGGCAGATGTGCCTGGCAGACAGCAGCTGTCTCTGCTGGGGCTCCTCCTGCTCAATCTGCAGCACCCTTAGTGCAGGGCTCTCTCTCCCTCACAAGTCTTACTTTGCCACTAGCTAAAAATAAATTTTCCTTTTTCTTCCAAAGGAGCACCTGAACTCACCTGATGCATACTGATCTGCAGGGCAATCTGCAGACAGCTTAGCTCTGATGTGCCCTTAAGTGAACTCAGGTTCCCAAGAAAAAGATTAACAATCTAAACAAAGTGTGCTAATGGCACTTTGTTAATATTTTGCATTTGGAGGGCACTACATATATTTATACAGCAGTAATAGAATAACGTAAAGAAAACATTGAAAGGGAAGTGAAAAACTGCACTTATGGTTGGTAGGTTGCTACCAGGCAGCAGAAGTGGGTTCTGAATTACGCTGTAGCTGCAATGCAATGATTTACCACAATGATGCTGCCTATGGAATAAAGGAACAAACAGATTGCAGTGGTTGCAAACATCTGCAGAACAGCAAAAGACTTCACATCACAAGAGAGGGGCCCATGGGAAGGAGCTGAATTGTGAAGTGTTCTCAAGCAGATGTTTGTTTAGAATTTCTGAAAAAGCAGTGAGATGGGTGAGCAATCTCACAGGGTGACCGAAGCACAGTGTGAAGAGTGACTTCAGAAGCACGAGCAACTGTGTGCTCACTCCCCGTGTGATGGAAATACACCCATCCTTTCTGAGAATTCCATTCTCATTGCTGGCTTGACATGCCTAAGAATGCATCTAAGGCAGCCCAGGAAGTCCCAAAGGAATGAGAGAAGAAAGAAGTGAAGAATATCATCTGAAGAACCTCGTGCTCCCTCTGCCAGGACCGGAACGGAAAGCGGTACTGCAAGAGGAAGAAAACCACCCCACCCCCATTGATCTGCTCCTGCTCTTTTGTTTGTATGCTTTAAGCATCCCAGGCAGGATGTCAGATTTAATGCTACTTTATGCATCAGTTATTACTGTAATCCACTCATGGCTTCTTTCGCGTTGTACTGCATGGGATCAACTACATTATAAAATGAAACTGATATCAATTATAAGCATACCACCCGTCAAACTGGTCAATGATTGCACCACGAAGACGCAAATGATGGGGTTGGCAGAGGCCTGTTTCTCAGCCCAGCACCCAGTATCAAGCAGGATTTTCTTCTACACTAATGTTTAAAGCATTTTATCTGAGCCGTATCATTATATTCCAAACAATAGCAGCTCAGCAGCCACACAACAGAAGAATATTTGGTATCCTACTTGCCTGCACTGCAGCATTTTTCCCCTCTCATCTAACCTGGACAATCTAGTTTTATCTTTCTGTACAGCCAGCCAACGACTCCTCTGTTAACCCCTACGACACGTATACCAACTGGTAAGCTGAAAGAAACGTCACGTAGTGCAGACTTGGAGGTAACAGCGACGTGAGACGGCTTTCTCTCACACTTCAGAGCTCAGAGTCTGCTCCCCCTGGGGCACAACTAATGGCAGGTGTGCTATTCTTCTGAAATACCTATCATCCACTATTTAAATGTTTAAGGAGTAATCCATAAATAATACTTAGCATGTCACTTTCTAAATGCACTTTACAGACCCTGATGAGTAGCCAGAACCTGCTAAGTCATGGTTCATGCAACACTTCTGGCAAAGACTTCCAGTTTTCTGCTTCTGCAAACCCCTGCAGTCCTGCAATGCTTCCCCACGCAGCACGCTTTGCTTTCAGTCCCTGCAGAAATTAAGAGATCCTCTGGGAACTCTATAGGGCCTGAGCAAGGTATGAATGCTCAGCATCTGCAGAGACTTCATTTGTTGGCAACAGCTTTATAGCTACATACGGCTTATGATGACATTACAGTTTGTGAAAAAGAATATTCAGAGGTTGGATGGTCTGTTTAAGGGCTCTGTCGTGTACAGGTCAAGCAGACAAAAGCATTTCTTTACTAAACTAACCATCTGGACAGCAAGAGGGGGCTACAGCAGGATACAAAATTCAGCACACCATTAACGATCAACCTACAGCTCAGAAACTCTTCAAAAGAAAATCCATTTTAAGGATAGAGGGAACGCACACGCATCACTGCTTGTGTGCAACACGCAAACACTGTGAGCTCAGCCATCTTTCCAACTTCTCAAAAAAAGGAAAGACAATGGGATCTATAACACCATCACAAAGCGAGGACCCTGTCATATCCTGAAGCAATCTCTGAATTCCACGTCAGTGCCCAGAAACCTGCCTACCCAGCTCACCCTGCGAGCAGGACAAGCAGCAGGATGCTTCTTAGCACGATGTGCTCAACCACTGCCTGTTCAGGACATATGGCCTGTCAAAGTGAAACCTCAAAGCCGTATATTCTTATCACAGGTTAAAAATAAAGCACGTGCTCTTGAGCAAGAGAGGTGGATTGCAGGGCAGGGAATGGGCTCCCAGTTGTCCCCAGAGAACCTGAACACAGATGACAACCCCCAACAGCTCTGATTGCTGCCGTAGCCCAAGCGTTCTGGGCAGTAAATCGGAAACCCAGTGGCTGAAGCCCAGCCTCTTGCTTCTTGAGCGGGGCTGTAAACAGGCAAAGGGAGGGGCCTCGCACAGCCAAGCCGAGCGCAAAGTGGTGAGTAAGTCACTGAAGGAAAAACAAGTGCAGCATGCAGAACTGGGGCTGGGAGGCAATGGGCTGCGGGAGCGGTGAGGCACTCCGGCTGCTGCCCTCCCCGCATGCCCTCCATGCATGTCCCCTGCAATGCCCGCCGTGCAAGTGCTGCCCCGGAGCGCCTGCAGGGCTGTGAGGTGCGGGTGAAGGTAAGGCTGGAGGCGAGGAGGGGTGCGAGCAGCGGGCGGGACACGCGCCTTCCTCTCGGTTTTCCATTTCAAACGCTGATGTTGATCGCAATACGATAGAAGTGTGAGCCCAGACTGCACGAGGGGGAAGCGCTGGGGACGGCTGAGTCAGAGCACAGTAAACAAGAGCACTACAGCATCAGCTTACGCAACGCAGCCAACCTGGGACTGAGAAAAAACTGCCTTTTGCCGGAGAAGTGTTGAGCAGTGATCTATGGAATCCTGCCCCTGGAGCATGGTGAGCACTGGCCCAGGCCAGGCTGGGAACCCAGTGCCTTTGTGGGGAGAAAAGGCAGCACAGGTGAGCAGTCAGTGTGCCTAACCTGGCCGCCAGGAATCGGTAACAAAGTGTGGTTATTTGGCACGGGTTTTATCTGTGCTCCTTTTTGAGGTGGGTTTTGCCATTTCAGAAAGTTACTATTTAACAGACATCCTGCCTCTTCTGTCATTACAACGGAGCTGACTTATTTACCTGCAGTTAGAGAACGTCAAGAAACAAGAAAATGGAGTAATTATTACACACAGTTGCGAAACCAGACATCCCACCAATCTATAAAACACAAAGCAAATACTCACACAGAATGCAAAGGCTGCTGACTTCCTTCTGAGACGATACACAGGCAGGTGCTCACGGCTGAAGTAACTCAGTCTGTAGTAATCAAAGTTACGTGCTGAAGGATAAACCTACATAATGGAACTACATGATTGCGCCCATGCCTGTGCTTAGTCAGCCTTGCACCCGCTGTAATGCATATATTTGCAATACCTTGTTCCAGTCTGCTGCTTTGCTTGAATCAAGCCAGAGAAGTTCAATGAGATGGAATTTTGGTTGCCTTCGACTGTGCAAGACAGCTTTCCTTCTTCTTTTTTCAAGTTTTAAAACACCAGATGCTTCCTGAAGACTCACTGGGTCGTTTACAGTGTTCAAAATAGAATGAGGATTAAGGGACAGTATAAAGATACCACAGTTTGTACATCTATGCAACACTCATGCTAAACAACTGGTCTGAGAACACAAACAAAAAGGAGGTTTTTATCCAGAGGTGAAATAAATCTTTGAATACAACAGACCTGCATCTTGTGCTACTGTTAAAGACATCTCTTACCTGAGAAAATCTGGCATCAGACCGTGGAACAAAGGTTTGTCTGCCCAGCTAAGTGGCTGTATTTTATCCTGCTATCTGGCTGTGCTATTTAGAAGAAGATGCACACAAAACAACCGCAGTGGGAAATAAAATTGAACTGGACATAATTCTGGAACATATTCTTCTGGACTTCAGCTGGAGGGTCAGAGGATTAACGCTACAGAGATGGAACTGCACATCTCCCAGTGGTTACAAAACCCAGAGTGTATCATTCAGCCATATGGTTCATTGAGTACAGTATGTTGTCTAGTGACATTCATTTTAATTGCACAATGCTTCATGTGGATTCAATTTAATCTTATTCTCTCGCTGGAAAGAATGCATTTGTGTACTTTCCTGTACCTGCTGAAAGAACACAATGCTGCGTATCTGACCATCTCAGACTACATCTGACATGTGAAATCGCCTGCCAGGCTGCCCTAGGAAAGGAATGACAGCCATGATCTGAAGGCCTTGAATGTTTCCAGTTGCACCTTAGAGATTGCTTTAGAGATTACTTATTTCTGCGTTTCAGAAAGAGACGCTCGCTTTGAGGAGCCTACTGAATTCTGATGACAAAGGACAGCTGGACAAGGACTACTGACGTTAGCTTACTTTTTGAAGAATTTAAGCTATTTCAGGAGGAAATGATAGTTAATTCCTGTCTTTTTGGAAATACAGGCTGCCCTCCTATTAGGTTCCCTAGACTACAGAGGTCCATTGTTTTTCCAGTACTAAATGGTTGTAGGTTTGAAACCTGAATAGAAACTTGTAAAAGAAAAGCCAACAAAAAACAAAACCAAACCTTCCACCTCATTTCCTGGTTTCCTCTTGCCTTACCAGTGACTGAACCAGCATCCATTCACCAGACTGCCCCAGCTGTGCCTTCTAACAATTACTTTGAGAGAAAACTTGTTAGTACTTACTACGTAACACCATGCACATTTTTCTGTTTTTCTATTTTCCATCTTATTGCTGAGATCTGTAGCTCCTCTTATATACTTCAGCAACTACATTTGCATAGTATTAAATAAAGGCGCTCTTTCGTAATTTTAAGAAGTACTGATATTGCTGTGCATCACATTGGTATTTCTTTTTTTTTCAGCTCATTGCCACTGATTTCCTTTTAAGGAATTGAAACTTGTACATTTATTTACCAGTCACCTGAAATTTTTGAAACACGGATGACTTTCTGATAGTGAGATGGAAAAGAATTTCCATCACTGGCCTTAAACTAATTGGTTACGTGAGCCGTGTGATCTTGAGTACGTTTTCCTCACATCACATTGCATTTCACTTACACTGCAATATCTGAACACTATTCCTATTTCTTTCTCTACAGAAAAGCTGGTAACCAGCAGAGAAGATACAAGAGCTAAAATCACTATGTGGAGCTGTGAAACCTTAAACAGTACTGACAGCAGCGAGGACCAGCATCTCTGCCAGGACTTCCACTTTGTGCTATCCATCTTTTCCCTACTCTACCTCATCATATGTTTCCCAATTGGCCTGTGCTACAACGGCCTGCTGGTCCTGGTCAACCTGTACAACAAAGCGACCATGACGATGCCTGATGTTTACTTTGTCAATATCGCCATTGCTGGTCTCATCATCAACACCCTGGCGCCAATGTACCTCCTAGGTCTTGCCAACACAAAATGGGCCGTCTGGAATTCTAACAATGAAGTTTATATCACCTTGCTTATTTTGTTCAACGTCTCATCTTTAGTTACCATGTACTCTACGACATTACTCAGTCTGGACTACTACATCGAACGCGCTCTACCCAGAACTTACATGTCCAGTGTGTACAACACCAAGCACGTCTGTGGATTCATATGGGGAGGAGCCATGCTCACGAGTTTCTCATCTCTTCTCTTCTACGTCTGCAACCACGTATCCACTAAAATAATTGAATGTTCCAAGATGCAGAACAAAGAGGCAGCGGATGCCATCATGGTGTTTATCGGGTACGTCGTTCCGGCCGTCGCAGTACTGTATGCACTTATTCTGATCCTGAGGATACGCAAAGAGGCAACGCCTCTGGATCAAGACACTGGACGATTAGATCCATCGGTGCACAGGCTTTTGATTGCCACAGTCTGTACACAGTTCACGTTATGGACGCCCTATTACGTTACCCTTTTGGTAAGCACATTTACTTACGCACGAGGAAGACCTGCAGATGAAAACTACAGTCGAATATTACATTTTACCAAGATTTTATCCAAATTCTTGGCTTTCTCGAGCAGCTTTGTAATGCCTTTGCTTTATAGATACATTAACAAAAACTTTCCCAACAAATTACGACGGCTGCTTAAAAAGATACACTGTGGGAACCAGGGCTGTTCTCACGAACGCACAGTAGTACAGCAAGTCATGACGTAGGCATTGAACACCTCTGGTGCTGTTACTGCAGTACTCAGGCTGTGATACGGCTGTGCTGGCACTCGAAGTCACGACGTGACAGCCCCAACCAGGAGGAGCCTTTAATAATGAGAGAGTCTTAACTTCCCAAATGTTGTGTTTGCTGAGATCTGTAAGACTCTGGCTATGTGCTGTAATACCTGTGACATCTAACACTCTCAGTGCACTGAACTGCTTACAAAGCGTAAGCTCTGTCTTCATCGTTCTAATATTCCTGTCTGAACAAATCACTGAACAGCTGATGGAAATCCTGACTGAACACACAGCACCTTGTAGGGAAAAAGGCATTACCTTGTTTTCTGTGCAGAGAAGCAACAGTGCTATCCTTGATGAAGTAAATAGTATTTTCCAATGAAGATGATACGGGTGATCTTTGCTAAAGGTCGTATCACCCAATGAAACATGTCCAAATAGTAAATGTTAATTATAAATTAAATTATTTAATTTCCTTCTCCATCATCGAATTCCCTAATCTACCATTTTCAGAGGCTATATTCTCACACGGTCTAACCTAAGCTATTAACACGTATGACAAACCAGCTTTTCCTAGATATAACAATAACATGTTTTATTCTTCCGGTGCTTTGTTTGCATCCTAAGGCATTTCAGGAATTCAAAAATATTTATTAACTAATTCTAGGGGAATTGAGAGATTTTTTGTTCCACATATTAAAATGAAGGACACAATGGTTTACAAACTTAAATCAAAACTTAACGAGTAAAGAATGTCTGGCTAAGTGTTATGGTCCACATATGTTCATATGTAACGAGAGTAATTATCTTAAAAATAAATATGTTTATGATTAACATTTTTTATTTTCAAGGGATATGTTCTCTACAAATAAACTGAAATCTCTTTAATCTCGGGGATCACTGGAAGATCAGAAACCAGAAAAAAAAAACCCTTTCAATGCATACAAGATTTTAGGATGGGAATAGTATGAGGGGTGCTCCGAAAGTAATGCCTCCTATTTTATTTTCTTGGTCCATGATGTCAGAGGTGGATGTTGGTGGGATGGCAGTAGAGGCTGAACCTTCCCACCAGTTTTCTGTGACGTGCTGCTGCCGTGTGACAGACGGCAGCAGAGGGGCACTCTGACAAAGTGGCATCTGACATTGGAAGTGTGTACAAAACAAAGGTGTGGAATCAAAATCCTCCATGTGGAAAAAAAATAGCACTCACTGACATTTGTCAATGCTTGCTGAATGTTTGTAGAGACCAAACAGTGGGTGTGAGCACAGACAGGGGTGGGCAATGCGTTCCAGCAGTGACACTGACTGTGGTCGCTCACATGGGTGTGGATTTTAACAAGTGTACTATGCAGGTGCTTGTTGTTTGCTGGCAAAAATGCACAGCACGTGGTGGTGACCATGATGAAAAATAGTTTGGTAGCTGAGAATTTGCTCTACCAAGCAGTGTTATTATGCTCTTTGTATCTGCAGTGCTTTCCATGTAAATAAATAGGAGGCATTACATCTGGAGCGACCTACATAGATATGAATTCCACTCAACATCACCTTCTTGCTGACCTGGGGAAAAATGCAGCATCTCCCAGTGTGATTCACGAATACACAGCAGAAGTACAGTTTCTGTATTTCACAGTGAGGATGGAAAAAACCAACACAGTTCAGAGTGTTTGAAGAACATGAGAAAAACAAAGAGCTGCTGGAAACAAAACTATCCTGACCCAAACAACCACCTGCAGATGTTGTTGCATTAGTGATAGCAGGAGGGACAGAAGTTCTGCTAATTTCTCCCATTGGCTGAGGGGTAGCAGGACGTCTTTGCCACTGGCCCTGCGACAAATCACTTCTTTGCTTTATCTGTCACAACACAAATCATTCAGCAAGACTTCAGCCAAAAAAATGAGTGGTTTTGAGCCTCTGGTATAGAAAAACCATAGAGTAAAAACAGAATTAAATCTTTTCTACTGCATCATCTGATCTCATGGTCGGTCATAATTTATCAGCATAAGAAAATGGTTAAGTTTAAGTGGGAAGGAGATGAGGAACAGACTTTTCTCAGATCTTTTCCCCTCTTTTCAACATCATTTGAGTCATTCTTCTCACAGCCATCTTCGCTCATCTGATTCGTATACAACCATCTCTTACATTATCAACATCCTGCTCACCCATTACTCTTTAGCTTTCAATACAGTTTTTTATCTCAGCAAACTTTTAACCATTGAAACACAGCAAGTCAGCAAGTCATCTGTTTGTGTGGCGGTTTCTCCCCATGAAAGCTAGCCAGCAAAATCACATCACTTTGCTTCACAGTGTCAGCCTGTAGATTAAAACCACGTCACAAAAGGAAGCCTTTCCTTATCAGCACGTCCATTCACACGCTTATTTACGCCTCTCAGCAGATACAATACTGGCTTCTTGGTTTTCATAACCATTTTTTGGTTTCATTTTTCTCTTAACTTGAGATATATTCTAAGAATTGCAAGCTACACTCATTTTAACTGTTCAAGCTCACGCCCACAGACGTTCATAGCAAATCTTTCCTTGGAACTGCTGAGCAAACAGAGACTCATCTTCCCTCTGGGGGAACACTGGGCATCCTGAAGCACCACATCACTTCTCTCACATAAAAACTGTGCAAGAAATTCTGACCCACGGGGCAGGAAAACAAACAGCAGCACAGAGGAACTGGCAATCCTGGGTGTGAGCAGGGCCTCGTGGGGCTGGGACACGGGCAGGGCAGTGGGCTGAGCAGGCAGCACAAGGGCAGCTGTAACTCCCCTCTTCCCAACAAACAATACTTCCTGTGTCTAAGCAGGCTGTCACATTTATTTCTATGCAGGTTAAATCACCGGGCCATGACTCCTTCATCATCTCTTTTTTTTTTATTCCCCTCATCTCCTTCAGTTCTCTACCCAAACATGCTATCCCATTTCATTCTGCTCCTGTTCCTTTCCTTCTTGGCCCTGGTAATTCCCAAGATTACCTCCTTCATGACAACTCAACGATTTGGCATTACAAATAGAACTGCACAGAAAATGGAAACTCCAACTTAACAGATGGAGAAAGAACAAGTCTTATATCATCTACCCCTGAAACCTCAACTTCGATTTTTTTCCTAAAGATCCTTTTTACTGCAGCAGCGTTGAGTTTGTTCATATCCTTGACAATCTACTAAATGTGATGGCAATCACATAGGGAAGGAGTGCTGATAATTTAATGAACAAGACTGATAGAAACTGAAGTATTTTTAAGAGTGAATTTGATGTCTCATTTGCCACAAAGAAACCGTGCCATGGAATGGACTGCCCTCCTAAATTCTGAACCTGATTCCTGTGCTCTTGTGTGGTGTCCCTTAAAAAGCCATATCCCACAAAGCAAGAACTTCACAATATTTATAGAAGCAGTACATGAGCAAGTGCATTAAAATACTTAAGGAAATGCATGGTAATGTAACTGTGGAGGAACTTTTATGGGCAAATTTCTAAGATACAAAGTTCTCAAGGACGAGGCCTTTCCATTTCGATACCTGAAGGTTTCTGATGACTGTAAATAGGGGCTTGCCTACTTTGCATTTAAATAAATATGACTAAAATAATGTACATATGCCTACTGATGAAAAAATAATTTTCAAATAATTTATTAAATTATTTCTTAAAGCAAGTGTCTCATTTAAATGCAAACCTCTGGATAGTAAAGTGCACTGTATGTTTCGGTATGTGCACACTGGTATCAGCTGGCACTGGTTAAGTGCCATTATTAACAGTGTTATTTTCTCACAAAATTCAACTCCATGTTTGAGATGAGCTGTGGCTTATAGGCCTCTTCCTGAAGAGCCAATTAAGTCAAATCTGTGAACTAACAAAGATGAGTGACTCTGCTTGTGCTGAAGGTATTAACACAGCCAGTTTAAGTCAGGTCTGTGTTGACAAACCCAGCAGGGGTCCTGGTTTCAAAAGTTTCCATTTAGAAATCAAATTGAGATAGTGTATGAAGATATAATGTTCAGTTAAGGAAAAAAAGTGACCAACCACTGCAGAACTCCTGGTTCTACTTAAAATAAAGAAATGTGGTCCTTCCATATTATGACAAAGAACTACACGAAATGGACTTTTGTCAAAGCTTCACAAAGAAACTGCTGACTCCTAAGACTCTTAATAAAAAGTGTTAAAGCCTATCTGATCTGTAAGAGGTGTGGGCTCTTCTTTTTGGCAAAAGGGCAACTTGCAGGCAAGGCTAAAGCTGTGCTTCTTCACAGAACCAGAACATCACAACTTCGTGACTTGGATGTCAAACCAGGCGTGGTGAATTACCTCGATTTTCTAGGTCATAATTTGTACATCATTAAAATCTAATTATGCATCAGCATGAAGTTAGCTGGGAATGAAGGCAAAAAGTCACAGCTTTTTTCAGCATAATGAATCCTACAACTAATAAGACAGAAAAATTGGTGCCAGAAATACAAAGTTGTTGGTTAATGTACATATTGACCATGTGCCTGTCACTTCTTTGTGCAAATAAACCCAACTGATCACCAGTGTAAACTCAGTGTACCATCCAGGCAAGTCAGTAGGCTTACATGAGGCTGAACTGTACCAATGTGGCAGAAGAATCAGCACTTGTCTGTGAGCACAGACAGATCTCACTGAGGACAACCACATTTTGGCACCAAGACAGGAAGCGTTGAACTGTTCTATTACAGGAAAACAGGTTACAGCACCAAGGTTACCAAGAAAATACAACACCATGTCAGAAAGAGGGGAAGTACCACTGAAAAAAATAATGACCAAGATTCGGTTCTCTCTTTTTTTTTTTTTTTTTTGTGCATGTACACAGCTAAAAACTTACTTATTGTTGCTAACTAAAAATGAAAGCAGGCCACTGAGCAGGGTGCAGACCTACTCGTGAGCTGCCCTGCAATGGCTCAGGGCTGGTAACAGAAAACAAAAGCGGAATCTGGCCAAGTGCCACTCTCAGTTCTTCTCTTAACAAAGCACTTCAAGAAGCACTGATTTGGACCTCAGCTTCTGCAGCTGTAAAGTGCTCAACACACTGAGGAATCTGAAACATATGCTCTAAGATTAATTCTTGCAGCTTTTTGATAAGTAAAACCTTGTGTATTTCTTAACCATATCATGCAATACTTTTTCCAAGTGAAAGCAACCGAATGCACAAAACCAGCTGTGCAGACTCAAGTGTGAAATGTTTCCCATCATATTTCCCTTAACTTTCCATCATACATCAAAATGCTCTGACATATTTTGAATACATTCTCATCCCGTAGGAGAGCAGTGGATTTATTGTCTATTTCATCACTCCACTTCCTTCCTACCAAGTCTTCTCCTTACCTGGGAAGTGCAGGCCATTTCCTTATACTCCTCCCTTCTATAGAACAGCACTTCTAAGTACACTCACAAAATGCTCACATTGCCTTGCAGTGCCCAGCAGAAAGTTCGTGTGTTGTTCCAAACCATAACAGGAAAAGACTGAAACGATACCAGATTCCTATCAGAGCATTAACGATTCAATATACAAACGTTTACAAAAAGACAAACCTTCCTATCAGAAGTTCCCCAGAACAAACAAGTTTTTACACCAGATGAAATGGATTCTCTTTCTGGTTATAAAGCGCCTGAAGGTGCTTTGTGTGAAAACAGAAATAAGCAGCAGCACAGACACTCCCAGCTCAGAGGGCTGGAGAAAGGATTGTTAGGAAAGGGAACAGGTTCCAATTAGAGCCATCCTAAGGTACCTGTGAGTAGACTTAGAGCCAACAGCAGGAATGATGCTGCCATAAAAATACAGGAAAGCTCTCAGCTCTGGATCAAGTCAACGTCTAAAAATGCAGAATTGATCCCCTAATGTAAAGGGTTTCTTAAAATCATAAATTCCCCCTGATTTCAATAGGAGGTTTTTTGACTTATCACTTCTATGTAAGTCTGTGTGTTACCAATACTACAACAAAACTAACCCCCTAATTTTAGCATGTACATTTGCAAATGTAAGCTAAAATTTATCTTGAAGCTGCTAGAATTTCCACACTTGTTTCTTACCTCAGCTCCCAAATAAATGGTATTTTTGATGTTAATTCTGGGATCAAAACTGTTGTACAAACACCACCTGGTGGTCACTAACAGAACATCCTGCATGTCACAAAGATGGTTTGATCCATAAAACGATTAAGAGGATTTATGTTCACAATGGAAACACTCTCAGACCAGTTTCTGGTTATAAATGTACGTAGCAGCAGGTCCTGTCTGCAAGCACATGGAAGGAGAAACAGAATTAGTCATCACTTCTACAACGCTGCTGAGACAACGAGGTACATAAGAGAAAATTCTGCTGCAAAAAGCAATCCTCAACAATGGCTCATTGTGTTTTTTAACCTCACAGGATATTTCACCAGACTGTGAAGTCTGATTATTCAAAATACATAAATATTTATTAAAAAAAAAAAAAAAAAGCTTATGTCTCTTGTGTTTGTTCTGAAACACCTGGTACCAAGCACTGCCATATACGAGATGCTCAGAGATCAAAGGCAGTGCCATTCCCAGCCAGCTCCAGAGCATCATAATTCTTCCTAATTAAGTTACGGTTTTGCTAATTCAAAATGAAATAGATTTCATTCATTATTAATAGAGAAGTTTCGGAAACCTTTCAGCTCAGCCTATGTAAATTAAATAACCATTCTAACACCTGCAGTGCTACGCAGAGCCCCGTTCTTTTATAGAAGTTGCTATTAGACAAAGATGTTTTCCACCCCTCATTAAAGCATTATTTGAAATACAGCCATTTTTAGCCCTCACTGGGGAGTTACCTACATGATCTACCTATACAGAGGAGTTTATTTTGTCACTGATGGAAACATCACTGCAGAGTAACAATAAGAAAACACTGTTTATAAAACAACAAACAATGCCCAAGTAAGCCAATATAAAATCACTAATGGGGAATCATGGGTGAGCAATCCTGAGATGTGACAGCAGTGATAACCCAGCACAGAGCACGGCTGTTCCAGAATAAGAGGCTCAGTGTTGATTTAGGAGCAGCCTCAGAGGCACAGGCAATACTAATACCAGTGCCTATGTACCCACATCACCAGCTCATGCTTTTTTAACCCTATCCAAGCACACAGTTTAAATTCCACAAATCCACATGGCTCCACGCACCTTACAGTCAGTTTGTCTATCTAATAAAGAGATGAACCAGCTGTCAGTGAGCTCAAAGGAGCTCAAAGCACCCAATATCCAAACGCCACCGCTGAGACCCACATGCTGCAGTTACACGACAGAAGCATGCACATCTCAGCTCCACTTACAGATCAAGAAATCAGGAAGCTAACAAGCAATTGAAACCCCCACAAACATGCAGTGATGAAGACGTGTTTTCTATTCTAAAACTCATCCTCAAGCAGAATTCCTTCAGTTCTCCAAGCTTGCAACTCCTGGCTTTGTGTACGGATTTCACTGTTGTTCTGTTTGGCTTTACGTTTTACCTCAAAGGCCTGAAGTTCCACGATCTTTTAATTGAGGACTCAAATTTGCTTGCTGCTGAATAGCTGACTAAGCAAGAAGAACAATTTTAAAGTGACTCTCTGCGTGTCAATATAACAAAAGACTTAGAATAGATGCTCTTCTCAAAAAAAACCCAAAACCTAATAGTAATAATAATAATAATAACACATCTGAATAGGTTACTTAAGAAAATGTCAGCCCGAGGCAGCACCTCTGTGCAGGAATCAGCACACTGACACAAGCAGCCCCATGGTGCCCAAGTGCCACCAAGAGAAGCTCTGCACAGCCAGCTCAGCTCCCCAGCAGCACATTGAACCTCCCCTGGCCTCCCTGTGGTGAGCATCCCACCCACGCCCAGGTTATTTTTTGTTGGATAATTACATTAGAGGAACAACTGAGATGGAAATACATGATAGGTTATGAAAAATAACTTCAGGGGAAAATGTAGATTGTTTCTCAATTCATAATTCCAGTAACACAACACTGCTTTTCATCACAGTACACTGGAGAACGGGCAGTAAAAGCCATTGGATATTCCAAAACAGCCCATCACAAAACAAAGGGACACCTTCCTTAACAACCCTCCATCAGAAAGGCAAGAGAAGCTGCTTCAGCCCTATGCAGAACATCATTACCACACTCACCTTATCCACTGAGAGCACACACACATTAATCAACACGTAACTCATACAAACAGTGCTAAAATAATGCAAGCAGACATTTAACCACCTTTGTTTTTGCACTGTTCTGAAGGTTCATACAACCCCACACTACTTTGCCACTGTTCTCGTGACTTGTGCCCTGTGATCATTGAAGCAAACGGAACTGAACTGATCCATTGTTTAAGAAAAGACCCAGCTGACCTCACAACAGCAATATCTTGCTTTCCTTTCAGTAGTGCAGTAACTATGAAAGTAACAGCACCCTGGGCTGCTGCCAAACCACCCTGCGTAGCTGTTAGGATACCAACAGAGCAGAGTATGGAGTAATACATTGGGAAACCTTGATTTCCTGATCTCTGTTTCTGTTCTGGCTCTCAGTTTATTCCATCCATTTGGGACACCAAATTTCTCAGTACCCAAATTTCTCCACCCATAGAATGTGGACCCTTTCTGATGTTCTTCTTTGAATCAATGTACATATTCTGAAATTGTAACATGCTGCTTGCTCCCCAGCCAAAGTATGATAAGCATTCTTTCCTTTAGATACAGCTGGATAATAACACATAATATGGAATAATATTTGTAAACATGAACATAAATTTGAAGATGCAAGCTTTCCCTTTGGTTTTGGTTTTGGTTTTTTTTTTTTTTTTTTTTTTTTTAAGACAGGATGTGTAAGAAATAGCTTTTCTCTTTTTGTTTTTCTAGTTCTCTCTGTATAATTTTTCTCATCAGAAGACAAGCTCCCTCCGAGCTCTTCTTCACACCTTGCATTAGTAAAAAAGCTGCTACTGAAACACAGGAAATGCAGTCTCAATGCTGATGTGCCAGAGCGTATCTTCACTCCAGTTACTCCTCCTTCCCCAACTGGCTGCTGATCACCTCAGAATAAAGCTTTATAAAGGGCAGTTTGAGTCACCCTTAAACTTTTGGTGCAGCCACTGATTTTTCTCTATTTTACTGGTAGTCACAAAGGGTGCATTGGGAACAGATGAACCCCAGCAGGCTGTCCCAGCCAGAACCAAGTGCTGGTGAGGGACCCCGTGCTGTCAGAGCTGGGCTGATGCTGGGCTGTTCAGTGTTACCCCATGTGTGCACACAACCCGTTCTGAAACCCAAAAAAGGCAAGTTGGTATCTCCTAGGTGAGGACCAGTCACTTCCTAAAATTGTCTTGTCTTTCCAGCACAACCATAGGATTGTTCATGCAGTTCAGTGCACTCCCTGTGCAGCCCTACGACCTATAGAAAGGATAAGGTGACACTTCAAATTTGCATAGCTCATGGAAAATCAACAGTAAAACACATTTGCCTGACTTGCACTCATTTACCCTTGCTTATTATATGACATTACCACCAACAGAAGAAACAAGGACTTGGGTACACCTCCAGACCAGCTGTGCCATACAGAACAGCTACACCACCCAGCCAGCTCCAAGCTTTTCAGAAGCAATTTAGAAACACTACTAAGAACTAAAGGGAAACAATGCACCCAGTTCAACAAACAACTATGCTGAGATGTTCAAAAACAAACCTACGTGGGAGTTGGGGTGTTCTGAACAACATGTGCAAGCTCCTAGCAAACCACATTTCATAGAGCTGCTGAGCTACTGAAGAGCTGTTTTGGAGCACAGCTACTTCACAGAGCCTGAAGCAACCCACATTTGGTTTGAGAAGTGCTTGCAGCAGCAATGCTCTCCCTCAGGTGGAAGTACAAACCTCAGGCTGACATTGTGCCTCCAGCCAACCTGCAAGCCCCATTCTGAGCCCTGCGCCCTGGCGCATTGGTTTTATTCCATTTTGTTGAAGTGTTTTGGATTTTTCCACGTAATTTTCAACAAAGCTTGCTAAAGCGCAACAGGTAAAACACCATGGAAAGCACTGACCAAAGCTACAGCAGATTATTATAAGATTAGAAAAAAACGTGCTTTGCCATGGATGTGCTCCTTTGAGAAAGCACGGTGTGGCTGATGCCTTCCAAGCAACAAGGCTGTGTGCACAGGAATAATCATGAGCCAAGCCTTTCTTGCTCATTTCCATCTAAGGTTTTGAGAATCCTATTAAGCAGTCACTAAGAAGATTGATGCTTAGCCCAACTCAGAACATGTTACGGACTCAAAATCGTGGCTTTTAACACCTCATGGTCATTGCAGAGCATCTGGAAAATAATTTGTTGAATGTGCACAATCCTGGGGGTGTTCCAAGAGCCAGAACCCATGGAGAAATAGAAATACACTGTATTTTTAAGCTGTGACACAGAGTACTGTCTTGTCGCATAGCTGCCCCATTTAGTAAGGGCATTGAATCTGCATTTATTCAACTGGCTTTCCTTTTTCAAGAGCCATAGGAATTAAAACAGCACGCTTACCAAAAAAAGTAATTGCAAAGGCTGACCAATGCGTGTAGGATTGCTTCATGAGCAGGAAAAAAATTCCACTGGATGGCCTCACAGACTCAGAAATGGCTGCAACAAACACTACTTTTCTGTTCTAAAATATCTCCCTGCAGAGGATAATTTGAACTTTAAAGTCACATGGTGAAATCATAGGTTTGCTAAACATGCAACGTGTACGGTTTGAATGATGTAAACCCAGTTCCTGTTTCTCTTGCAGAACTGAATGTTTTTGTAGTCAGCAAGCACTGGAGTTTTCATCGCGATTTATAACAGCAAAAGAAGTTACTGTGATATACACACGCTGCTCTCTGCATAAATAGAAAGGGCTACATCCTCCAAACAGTCATTATAATTCATCTGACTACTCACAGTGAAAGTCTCAGCTAATTGTATCTGTGGAGCATTTTCCTGGAAAGGTAAGTGTTTTATCTTACTTCGGATATGCAATGTTTTATTCATCACGAGAGGATCGAATCGTGAAGCTGTGGTTGTGTTTCATAAAGTTTTTAATGTTTGCTTCTTTAACAAGATTTGAACGAGACAAAATGAAATAGTGTCTCTGAGAAACACCCTCGTAAAGCTGAATAAAGCCGAGCATTAAACAGAGCGAATCTGACAACTGCTTTCTGCTAAATGCATTACTCCCACTGAACTGACATGGATAGATGATGAAATCCCATTCAGTGGTGTGGACGAGGGATTCCAACAATTCCCTAAGAGCAGTCTGCTGAAGGATGGACATTTTTGGATAATCCTAACAGCGCTGGAAGGGTTTTATAGGCAGGAAACTCATCCGCAGTGCTGGTGTAGATAGTGCTCAGTTATTGCTGATTCATATTCTGGGAAAGGGAAAAGAAAAGCTTTCAGTTTTTCGGAAGTTACGGTTAGGACTTCTGAAGTCTTTAGCCTCAAATACTTTCCAAAGCGTAGGAATTTTGCTGCGGTGACACTACAAGAACAAGAAAGTGGTATTTCACTGCAATCATCCCCTCCCTCTGTATTTTTTTCCCTTAGCAGACCTAGCCACAACAGGAAGGACAAACTCACACGTGTGAACCCCCCACCCCCAAAGCACCAGCATCGTTTCTGCGGGGCGGTGCAGCCCATGCCCAGTCACACAAGGAGTGCTGTGTGCACTGCTGTATGATGGAAAGAATTTGCTCCTTCTCTGAGCTGGTGGCAGACCGACTGCCCTGCCCAAGCTTTTTATAGAGGGAGAGCTTAGCTGCCAGCGAGAAACTCCCTGTTTTAGGAACCCTTCTTTCTAGACTTTAAATTAACAGAAGTTTCCTTGAGACCAAGCTCTCCATCTGCAGCAGTTAACCATCCAGTGCATGATGGGGGTAAGAAAGCAATGGAATCTTACAGACTGGGTCCTCTCACTGCTGAAAGCAAGCTGTGAAAAGCAGCTATTTTTCCAGCTACTTCTGAACGTGGTGCTCATTTCCTCAGCTCCACCTATTGGAAGTGAAGCAGAATGCATTAGCTGTGCTTCAGAAAGTGGAAATTAAACGCACTCACTTCAATCTCTGGCACAAAAGGCAGGGTGGACACGAGTGGGGAAACAGTGCCAGAGACAAGCCCCAGAGAACAAGAACTGAAGCTATATGAAGGAAGGACTAACAGCATGCATATGATTGTCAATTAAAACAAAGTGGGGGGGAGCAGAGGTGAGGAAGAGGATGGGCTTTTAGAGAAAGGCAATGCAGGAAACCATGATGCAAACAGCGTGTTGCGACTTTCCCTCATTAATCAACCTGAGGAAAAGGCCTGAGTTCTGCCACAGCTTCCACGTACGAGAGCTCTGATGGGATATTTTGATATTGGTCTCAGTCACCAGTGCCTAAATAGAAATGAAGAAGTCAGTTCTCCCCCTAATAAGCTGAGAGGAAGAACTCATTCACATCCTGAGGCATTTACAGAGCACAATGACAGCTCCAGGAAACAGAAAAGGACCTGGCCCAGCAAGCACAGCACACACATGATGTGCTGGGAGCAACCACATTTAATTCAGTGCAGGGAATGAACTCAGAACATTGGGAACGTTTCAAAACTGTCAAGACTTAGAATTTCTAACTGTTGTTTCCTATGGTAGAGAAGCACTGAAGGGCTCTCTAAAGCTCTGATACAAACAGATGCACAGAAAGGTTACACCGTCTGTCCCAGTTTTATTCAGCCCCAGCTGCAGGATGTGAGGGATGGGGGGCCTCAGCCAGAAGGGCCAACACAGCAACTGCAGCAGGTGACAAGCAGCACTCCTTGCTAAGAGCCATTTCCCCAGGAAGGTATAAGGAGACAAGACATGGCAGAAAACAAGCAGCGTTAGGGGATGGTGTCCTACAGCAGGAATATATATCTGTGTGAATGCACTGCAGAGAAAAAGCATACCAGTATTAGCTTGCAGGAAGTATTAGGCATGTTTGTTTGCAACCATGGGCACATAAGACCTTCCTAGCACATTCAGAATGCAAAACTGCCGTTTGCTCTCTTTCAAATACTTAGTGAGGCATCAAAATCAAGTAAGAGAATAGTCTGACACTATCATTGTGACTTTCTAAAAGCAGAATAGAGGCAGTGCTTGGAATAACTTAAGGAAGAGTAACAATCTGCACTATAAACTTCAATCTTATTTGACCAACCTGCAAGGATTTCAGAATATACTACAACTGCTAGCAATGATCAACAGAAAAGTGAGCTATTTTTCTGCATGAACACTCAATTGACGTCCAGCAAGCATCCTGCACGTGCAGACTGAACACTGCAAGCTGCCAACAGCTTGGTGCTTTGGCAACATTTTGGTAATATGGATAATTTTCTGTTATTTCCCATTAAGACAATGCATCTAGAATTTTTTCTTCTGTCAAAGCTTTAACTTCTATATTTGCAGTGTAATTTTCCCCCGAAGTGAGTAGGAAATTAAAAAGAAATACCTTCAAAGATGAACCTAGTATCAGAACCAAAGTCAGATCCTGAGCACATTTCAACAAGTCTTGGCACCTTGTTTTTCCTGCAATCTGGTGGAAGGCCATATGATTTCCTGTGAAACCTGAAGTTGCTTCCTTTGTTTCCTTGGCAATTCTGCTACTCTGAGATGCTGTGCAAGGCCAGCGAGCGCAGCCTGGGGTGGAAATTGTCAGGAGGATACTGGAAACCTTCACAGAGCCAGAACTCCATGGAAATACTTGGTTCTGCATCAGGGCTAACAGGACTGGAAGGTGACCCCTGGAGACTCTGGCAGGAGAGCTGCTCAAAGCACAAGTGTTTCTTAACCTCCTGAAAGTACTGTGTGGGATGCTGGCTTCCCATAGGAGCAGGAAGGTTTCTGGGGATGCTCAAGTGGTTCACATCCTCTGCAATCCTGGCACTGGATCAGGCTGTACTTCACACCTCTCTTTCAATGGAAGGTCAAAATTTGACTTACACTGCTTGCTTCACTGAGGAGACTCCTCAGTATTTAAGAAGAGACGCATTGGAGAAGTCAGACATTGGTGGCCTTCAGATTTCCAGGCAATGAAGAGGAAGTCAAAGCAGCAGATGGAAGCCAGGAGAAGGCCTGACAAGCTCCATGGCAGCACAGTCAAACACTTTTATGCAGGTCAACATAAAAGAACAGCCACGGAGCCAAGGGGAGCGGACTGCATGGCGGCTGCTTGATTAATGAGGAATTTACTGGTATTTAAAGCCCAGCATATTGGGTTTTATCCTCCAACACTTTGCATCTAAATCTACACGGACCAAAGCCAACTGCTCCCTTGTGGCACAGAACTTCCTCACTCATGTCCTGCGTTCCTGCCCTGGAACAGCGCCTCCAGAAAGGGAAAACTCTGACTTCAAAGAGAGGGAAAGAACGCTGCTTAATCAAAACACAACTCTATGGTTTTATAGAAACGCAATTATAATTACATAAGATTATATATATACACTTAATCAGAGTCACTTCGATAAGTCTACTTTTTGAATTAAAGTATTAGAATTCCAATTTTGAGGCGAGATTAAAAATATCAGAAATGTGAAGTAGTGTCAGAGGTAACAACCACAAATGAACTGCCAAACAGCATTAAGACACTGACTTATCTATAATGAGCACTGCCTAAAAATGTCCGTGGATCCTCATGAACTTTTACCAATTTAAAGTTACTTTTGCTGTAAGAGTTAAAATCACCGGAATACTTGGAGGAAAGATGCATTAAGTACAGCTGCAAGTGTAGCACTCTTGTTATAAATTGTTACTGAGTCTGTTATTTTCTGAACACACCTGCGCATGAAATTGTCGCAATTTTGCTTTTAGTGGTATATAAAACATATATATACTTGTATCTACTACACTGGGTTTTTCTTGAATACATACAATGTTTCCCTACGAAGCTTATTGGCTTCAGAAGGATCCTCCACAGAGGAGAGGTATCAGAATTACTGTATCAATATATCCCAGGGTCACTAAGAGCCAGCAAACGCGTTACTGTTAAATCTCAGGAGCCCAGGGCTCAGCTGCAATAATTGTTCTATGGCAGAACTTCATTGGGAGGCTTATGATGCACTGCTAATCACTTTCTCATGCTTGAACGTGTGCAAAAAATAACGATTTTCTGCAAAGTGTGTAATGCACAGATGAAAAGACAGTGCCGAGTTACTCTAACGCCTGTTTCTCCTTCCTTTTCCATTTCAGTTTCTAACTTCCCTGGGCAGGAACAAGCAGGTTGTGCAGAAAGGATGAGTGCTCACAACATGACGTGGATCAGCTACCCAAGCAAGAGCCTGGCCTCCACCTCCCTGGAAGAAATCGAAGCATTCATAGCTTCACAAAACGTCATATCCAGACTTATGCACTGTTACATTGCCTTCTTTGTGCCAACAGGACTCATAGCTGGCGTGTGCATTTTGGTCATTTTCATAAAGAATTACGTGCAGAACAAAACCATGGAACACTTAGACCGGCTTCTCCTACACTTCACCATCAGCAATATTACAATGATTCTGCTGTCATTTACAGTCATCAACAGACCCGACTACATAAGAGTGACCCACCTGGCCTGCAGCGTTCTGTCATTTCTGTTCAACTTCAGTTATTTCAACTCTCAGCATTCTTTGGTGTTGATGCTTCTCAAATTGTTACTGAAGAGATTTCCACCAAGGACTGCTCTGAGCACAGTAACCCAACGTCCCATTCTGTGTGTTGGATGTGTGCTGCTATGTGCCTTCTGCTTGGCGCTGACGGAGGCAGTGCTGGTTGGCACAGATAACTACCATTTGGAAACAGACTGCCAGCTGGATCCGTTATTTGCATGGCCTGAATACGAGATCGTTAAATTCACCTTTGGATTTGGAATCCCATCACTTCTTCAGATACTCTCCTTTATCACCCTCCTTGCTAAAGAAGCCCCTGCTGAAGCTCCAGCCTTACAACAGCACATCCATACCTACCTCGCTGTGTTCATCATAAGCGTAACAACGTTTATATGCCGTCTATTCTACAACATTATGATTCTCTTCAGGACAACGCTGAAATTACAGAAGAGCATTGGAACTCCAAAGGATGAGCTCGTGATGAACATTGCTGAAATAGTACTGTTCTCTGAGAGCTGTGCTAGTCTGGTACTCATATTCTGTTTGCACAAACCGTGCAAGGACAGAATACTTCAAGTCATACGGAGCTGCCGAAGGACACCCAGCACCACCAGCCACCTTGACATCCCAGTAATGCCCACAAGCCCTGAAGTGATGTCTCAGTAACACCTGCTCTTCTAAGAACTCTCAATCCACTTCTATGGTTATTCTTCTTTGTAAAGAACAATTGTTCTTTCTTCTGATCCCAAACCTGGACTATCACACGGCTAGCAGGACTGAGAGAAACACATATTCAGTCTGCTGTCTGCAGTGACCTAACACGTAGAAACATGTAGGACTTGGGGGTCTGTTCTTACGTGTGTGTAAATATTTTTTCATCTCCTTCCTTCGCACGTTACTTCAAAAGCGAGCAGAAAGTATTGCAACCATAGATGTATGCTTCTGTAATAGAACCAATGCCTTAGTGAGGATGAACACCAAAACATATCCTAAGTAACTTTGAACTGAGGTAAAAATCTGCAGCCAAAGCATTTTCTCAGGTTTGCTTCTTCTTTGGACTGGGATTTCTTGCCCTACAAGCCACCCATATTTTTGTAACATTGCTTAATTCCAGTAACAACAGCAGTGAAGTAGGAGTTAAGAGTTCATTACAATCCCAAAATAGTGATACTGCAAGTCTATTTCACTTGTACCATATATAAACACAAAATGGGGTTTTCCTTTCTTTTTTTTTTTTCTTCTTTTTTTTCTTTTCTGTTTTTCTCTTCTACATTTGCTGAAACCTCAAAGGTTTTTATCTGAATTCTTGTATGCACAAAAAAAACAACCAAAAAACCCACCAACAAAAAAAAAAACAACACAAAAACCCCTCAAATTAATAGAAACGTTGGTCCATAAAAAAGAACTTTGTGTCCTTTCTGAGGCACTGAACTGGAAAGATGGACAGGATGGCTAATTAAAACTTTGTGCAAGAATGAAAGCTTTTTGTTAAAGCATGCTTAGCTTCAACTCCGCATTACGACTTCATGCAATTATTGATTTAAGCCATTCTTGATGAGTTCATTCAGAAGTATGAAGTCACATACCTTGAATAGTCACATTCCATTATACCTTAACTAAAAAAATGAGAAAAACCAGGCCCAGCACTGGTGGAACTGCTCTTATAAAGGCAAAAAGAAGCAGAGCCCCAGATCCAGGCAGAAATCAAGGCTTTGCTGTAGATAGGAGAGGAACATTATATATTTTAGATGAGAATTCACAGAGAAATAGTGCAAAATGGGGAAAGAAATCCAAATCTGAGCATTCCACAGCAGCCATGGCACTGCAGCCCTAAGGAAGCAGCCACTGGTGCAGGCAGAGCCTCAGGTGCAGGGCTGCAATGCTGGCTTTGAGAGCATCATTACTGCAACCCAGGTTGGCCCAGAGCCCTCTTACACATTTGGCTTCAGTTTCAGACTTCCTTTAGGGAGAACAGAAAAAAAAACAAGGAAGGCACAAGGCTGTTCTGCACCTCGGATAAAGATGGAGAGTTGGACTACAAGTTAAAAAAAAAGAAATAGAGTGAGGTGATAAGCAGGGCTCAAGTGTCCTGAAGTGTTTTTAAGAAAAAACACTTTGATACTTATACACATGTTTGTGTAGCACTGGAGACAAAATTTACTTGATTAAACATGGCACCTGGATGCTAAAGGAACCAAGAGAATTTAGGAAAAATCTTGGAAAGTTACCTTGGTAAGGTGCAGATCTGTGTGCAGTCAGTGCAAATTGGAATGGGCTGCATGAAATACAGCAAAGTGGGCACTGATCCACCATCAGGAACAGGTTCTGCAAAGCAACAGCCAAGTGGAAGACTAAAGGACATCTGCCCATATGTACCGTGCATAGATGTAGAGTGTACATATATGGCTCTGGTCCTGAAATACAGTCAGAGTCCATGAATTTCAGGACTTCTATCACATGCAAAGAGAGGGCAATTGTCCCAGCATGACCATAAGGACCAACTTTTCCACAAGATGTAAAAATCAACTGGTGAAATAACTGCACTGCATTACGTCAGCTTGTTCTCCCACTCAGCTCTGTCCTGCTGCCAGCACCAGCAGATGGATAAATAGGGAACATCACATAGAAACAGGGCATTATTAGATCCTGGTCAGAACGGAAATACGCAGATAAGAATCACCTCTTCAAATACAAGAGTTAATTATATAGTTGTGAAAGGATTTCTCAGATGACATCTGAAGTTTTGCTTTGCATCTGAGGGAGTTTAAACAACAAGGTCTGAATGTCAGCCCTGCAGAGAGGAGCTGTAAGAGCAGCACATCAGTAAAGAAAGCTGACAGACTGAGAGGAAGGATCTGTCAGAAGATGTAAGCTGTTTATTTCAGTTCAGGCAGAGAACATCACGCTTTCATGGCTAAGTATGTTATTTTCTAGAACGGGAATTATGCACAAAGGATTCTACTTTATTCACTGCTTCTATATATTCAAAGGATGAAAGAATAAATACTGTATTGTTTCTGAGTTCTGTGTTACTGTTCAAGGTGCCTGAAAGTAAACCCAGCCAGCAAATGCACAGGACCTGGTTAGAGAACGTTGGCTGGGTCCTGGGAACTGGTCTGATGTGAGCAGATCACACAAATAGTCCTGCTGGAGCCTGGAGGCTCAGCACAGCTAGCATGCATGACAGTACTGCAGCATTTGGGGCAAGCAGAACCACAACGAATATCTCAGAAATAAAGCATGTGGGAGCTTCTGACAGAGCTGACACTTGGGAACGAGCAAGAACAAACCACTGCTGCAAAGCTGGGAGTGCTGCTGGGTACAGCTTCTGCTGCTGTCTGCCTGATGTGAGTCAGTGTGCTCTGGTCTCTTCCCTCTCCTCAGCTACTGCACAGGGACAAGAAGTATTTTCTGCATGGCTGGTTATATTGTCAGAATGTCTGCATACAGGAAAAAGACTAACTGAAAGGCAGAAAACAAAAGGAATCAGGAGAGAAGAGGTTGAAAGGCGAAACAAAAATCCAAACTCTCATTAATGCAATTTATAGCAATACAGAAATGCTTTGTTAAATCGTTCTTGATAAAGTTACACAGAATTGCCATTAAAATTCAGGACAATGAACATGTAGTGCTAGAGGAGATCTACTTTTGATTCAACTAGAATATGAGGGTAGATGCCTCTATCTGCAATATGAATTGGACAGAATTAGTCCCAAAAAGCCATTATAAAGCATACAAATTTGAGGTAGAAGAGCAGCTTTGGCTTGGATTAACAGTGATTAATTTTAAATGATTAATAAACTGAAGTGCATTTTTCTTTTTAGAACAAAATTAAATCTGCCTACTCTGATTTTTTTTTCCCATCCGTACCAGAAACAGCTTTGCTGCCCACTTTCTTCCAGGCTTCTCCCAATTCTGAGCAGTACCTTCCAGAAGAAACACAGCTCAGATATTTTTGTAGTCATGCTGTCAAAAATAACCAATGCCATATATTGGAAATTTCAAAGAATGCTTTATTTCTGTTCTGATAACATACACATCTAAAACCAGCTTAGATGAAAAAAAAAACCCTTCAATTCCAAAAACTAAGAGAAATGAGCAGGCTGCTGAAGTGTAAGCATGCATTTCTGAATGGGTAACATGCTGTGGAAAAGAATATGTAGAGACTAAAGACTCATCTTTCCTGAACCAGCTGGCTCCAATCTGATCTGGTCCCATTGCAAAACAACATCTGAGCTAAAGAGAGACAGGATTTGCACAGCTGAATCATAACTTCTGCTGCTACATCCTTATTTGTATTGCTAAGGCCAGCCTCAAAAGCATTTGAATTGCAAACTTATAGACCCAGAAAAGGCTCCAGCATCATTTGTGTTGACTCTGAGGTAGCTGCAGGTCTCAGAAAGGTGAAAGCTCAAGCAATTTAGTCACAACAAGTATGCTGTGTAACTTTTACACCATACACTTTGCACAAACAGTTGATTCACTAAACGCCTGGTATGAAAGAATGCGTTTTGCCTCTATAGTACTGTAATCCTTATTCTTTCATTTAGGATTAATTAGTGACAACTACGAAATCCTTTCATTTGGACAACTGGAGAGGCAAAGTGCCCAGGAAGGACTGCCAGACTCAACTGCTGGAGTCAGAAAGGACAGCTGCTTTGTGAATTCTATTTTATCACATTTGGAGGAGACTGAAGTGCCATGATGACATCCTCCAATTTTACATCATCATCTGGTCCAATTACATAAAATTTGGATGTGTTTCTCCTCTCTTCGAAGTGTTTTGCAATATACAGAGCCAGAAAAACAAAAGGATTCTACCAAACAGTTTGAATGGGTACAGGTGCTGTCCCTGCAAAGGCCGAACTTTAAAAACATATATTTTTAGTAAGAAAAATGCATTCTCAGAATAATTGGCAACTAAAAAGGCTAAACAAACAAACACACTCTAGGCAAGGTTTTCTGCAGGCACAGAACACAATCATTTGTTCCAACCCAAACTATGCTTGATTACATGCAATAAAAGTAGCGATCCTGTGACTGGACCGGATAAAATACAGAGGTACTCCAGAGGAGGGTAACAGCTCCAGGCAGGAGATGTCACTCAGGAGATGGATAAGGTCACACAGGTGCTGTTCATGCTAACGGAATGACAAGGCAGTTCTGGAGGGGAAGTGCCATCTGCATGCAGAACTTGAACTTTACAGCAGCATCTGTTCCTCCTCTACTCACCTCCCACTTTGTTCTTCCTCTACTATCACAGTCCTTTGGTAACACACCAGTCCTATGCTGACTCTTGCTCAATTACCTACAGCAGCCTATATTATCCTCCACTCCAAGCCTCTTGTACACCCCAGCACATCACAATCACACCAGTGCTCCTTCAACACAGTGCAGCGCCAGATGTGTTTATTGAGGCATATACAGCATTTAAGAAGTTGACTACTACGGATTTAAAAACAGCTGCCAGGAAAAACACTAAAGGCTGGATTACTGCAGTAGGACATGGCAGGAAGGCTAGCACACCAGTTGCTTCCATGCTTGTTCTCAGCAGCAGTTGCAATAAGGCACAACAGGCAGGGCTGTAATACTGTCACAATTCAGTTCAATATACAGATCATGGAGGCACTCGTTATCAAGTCCTATGGGATATCAGCAAATGATGGAGGAAAAGGGAATGAGGTATTCAGCAGCTGTTAAAATTTGTTTTAAGCACTTTGTGACCCTTTCCAATAGGGAAGTGCTGATTAAAATAGATTAATCAATAACAATAACCTGATTGCATAAACAAGAGCCTGGAGATGCTGTCATTTGTTTTAGGAAACAAAATTCAGAGAATTCACATGACCATCTCATAAAATATTTACTGAAACACAGAAGTCACTAATTACAATGTAATCATATTAGATGTGGCCTCTTCTTGTGCTTCTTAGCTCTCCTAGCAGGAGAAACAGCTACTTCAGGGCTTTTTCAGAGGGAAATTTCCTACCTACACTTGAAGCATGGCAGAAGGACATATTTCTTGTCACAAATTCAAACAAGAAAATAAGCACCGATAACAGCATTATACATTCTGATAGCAAAGCAGCTGATGCTCGCAGCTAGAAAACCAGGCGCAGACAGAGCAGCTGATTGCTGGAGCAGGACCCCAGCAGAACAAACACGAACGCCCAGAAGCCACCTCTAGGAGTAAAAGGAAACACAACTCCTGCTGGCCCTTATGAGACCAGTGCAAGTTCTGAAGGACAGAACTAAGCAGACAAAACCACATGATCCACAAACCACAAAAAGACTCTTTATAATCCTGCCCTTAGAACAGAGGAAAAACAGCCCTTCAAAGCTGGCATCACAAGACTTTCTAACACGACAGTCCTATAACCCAACCGTAGCTGTGCACTTCTCAAAGCAAAGCACTCTTAGGCCCTCTGTCCCCATTTCCCCATCAGGAAGGCTCCAGAAACCCATCTGTGTGCACATTCTCTTCAGCTAAGCAGTAATGCACTCCCAAACCATTCACAAACATCACAGTGCAGGAACAACGACACGCTAACTTCACGCTTCTGAACCGACAGCACTGATTTCTTGCAATCCTAATGCTGAGCTCCAATTTATTTTTTAATAGCGGTGGAACATCGCATCGAATACGGCCTGCCCATTAATGACACTTAGTGTTAAGTTAGCAGGTCGATATCATCTTCAAAAGTTAACTGAGCAAAGACAAAATCGCTCTTTCAGGAGAAAAATACATTTCCTTTCAGCCTTAAGAACTGGAGCCACCAGTAGGTGGTGTTTCTGAAATGTCAGAGCGCTTCTTCTCCCCTACAGATGAAATGCAAAACTCCACCTGCACTACTGCTGCTTTTCATGCTGGACTCCACGCTCACTGCTGCTCCACGTTCACTGCAAAGAAGCTTATTTCATCCGAGGGCCTTTGAGCAGAAGGATTCTACCAAGATGACAACACACACCTGAAAATGTAAACATACAGACAACACAGGACTGACTTGCAGGTAGGAAAGCAGATCTGTAACACCAGTTTAGCAAATGACCTTTCTTAGCTGCTAACTTTCACTCCATCCAATATTTTCCTCTAAACTGTCCTGGGGGTTTAAGAATACCTTGTATATCAGAAATCGTTGCTTTGTGTGTGTGTAAAATCGGCTCAGTTGCGACTTGCAAATGAATCTCTTACTAATTGATCAGCTGAGCTCTAGGTTTGAATACACTTCCCTGCCTGCAAAAATGCTGAAGGCAAAAGGAGAGCAAAAGGAGCCGTACGCAACAGAAAAGTGACAAATAAGAGACAGCAGCCGCGTGAGTAGATCCAGCAAAAAAGAAACCAGCAGAAACAGGGTTAATTCCAGCCCTATGAGGCTGTTCAGCAGCACTTTGAACACAAATTAGAACAACCCTGGGAATCTATAAAGCTTGTTTTATTGCCAAGGACGTGCAGCAAGATCTGCATTTTGCTGTCATAAACTATCCTTTATTTAAGGCATTTCAAAACAGGATGGACTTTGAAATGATGTTTTCACTGCTGAATTGTCAACAGGTGACATCCCCTGCAGCTCTGCACACCTAAAGGCAAGTTTATCCTGGCACGGCAGTGGAAGTTGACACATCCATTAAGTGAGTACCTGAGCGAGAAGCAGCCTTCTGCTGTCTGCAGGAAAACCAGCTCTGGAAAAATGGAATTAAGGTAAAAATGAAGTGTTTCACAGTCTGTGGTTACCTGTAACGTTTGCAGTAGCTTGGGTTTTGGTGGGCTCTCAGACTTTACTGAAGCCTGAGCACAGGGCTGCCATGTAGAATCAATTGCTTTGACTCATAACTTAACCTCCCTTTTATTTACAGCATTTTACTGCCTTACTCAAAGATAAAAGGGTGTTACATGAAAGACAGTGGTTCGTGCCTCACTGGTATCTGCTTGAAACAAACACCAAACCTTCTTCAAATACATGTAATTTCACATGGATATTTTAGCACGCAGATTTACATTATGAAAACGCTTCAAAGCACAGCGAAGTGACAGCGTTCTTACAGCTCTCACTGGGAAGTAAAACCTTGTTTTGATTCAAGTATCTGCTGGCTACTTCTAACAAAATGAATACATTTAAGCAAACTGAGACGTGCCTTTCTGACTACAAATACTGTAAGGCTCCTTCTCCATTCATGGTTTGCTCCTTCTGTGCATCAGCGCTACTTGAAATCATTAAAATGTGGAACCGAGCACAGTTTTACCAGTTTTGTTGGTAGGATGAAGATTAAAGCAATTCAAAATATTTAACATATAACACAAGCTATCCTGGATTACCATTTCCATGCTATTTGTTTAGCATTTTATTTTAATAAACTTCCAGCAATGCTCCGAGTCCACAGCATTCAGTGTTCGTAAGGAAACAAACAGGATTACCAGTTTTCACTCCCTTCCAGAAATCAATGTAGCATAATTAATTGCAAAGAAAAACAAACTGATGTTGGTGTAGATCCATGTGCTGCTTATGCTACCTTCATTTCTAAAGACTGCATTTCCTTCCCTCTGAAAGCAATAGGAACCAACTGCTGTTTGTCTCCGCTGCTTTTTCAGCCAGACTCTCCTACTTAATAAGCTTAAGAGCTGCTGATGAACTGAACACACACACACACACCATACCCATATGCAATATAAACTTTATATTTATAGACTCTCTTCATTAGGCCAAATTCTCCCATTTGATTTCTGTATTTCCACATATTCCAATACTGAATCGTTTACGATTTATAATGCTCTAACAGACCTACCCTCACAACACAATATCATCTCCAGCTAATTGGAATCCTTTTAACGGAACCGTTGTACATCCATTCCTACCCGACACCTCCTACAGCCTCAGCTGCACGTCTGAAGTGAGAAGCAGCACATTGTGCATGGCAGAACGCTGCAGTATTAGATTAACAGCTTTCCATTTGCAAATTGCAGGTCCAAGGATGTGCACTGAGTATTAACAGAACACAAATGGAGCTAGATTTCTGCCATCTTCCGACCTGCACGAAGGAGAGCTGCTGATGAGAACCTTTTGTTGAAATGACCCAAGTACCATTATGGTAAAAAGATCCCGACGTGATCTCACATCATATAGGAACTGCAAGTGCTCTCATCTGCAATGCATATAGCGTCTTGTAAGAAAACAAGGAAGAAAGAAATGCACTTCTTGTACTGTTATATTTCAGTCAATTTCAAGTCTAATTAATTTGGCTTCTAAAGAATTTGAATTTCCTATTTATAAGTGTGGGCTTTCTTCCATTCCAATCAAAATGCTTCCAACTCACTGCTTTGAAAACACCCCAGAACCTCATCTTTTTGGCATTACTACCAAACTGTGAGTGCTGTTATCTTTCAGGCAGGTATTTTAACCATGGAAACCTACCCTGCCTCAGTCCCACCTGTCATATGTAACAGCACAACTTTCAACCTCAATGGATCGCATCTGTGTAACGAGAGCCTGTCTTCTAGATTAGCAGACAAATCAGAACACCAACAATACGTTATTGGGCTTTTCTTATCGTGTCTTTACACAATATTCCTTTTTCCCATCGGTTTTGTAGGAAACATTCTGATTCTGGTTGTAAACATAAGCTTTCGTGAGAAGATGACTATCCCAGACCTTTACTTCATCAACCTCGCGGTGGCCGATCTCATCTTAGTTGCTGATTCTCTCATTGAGGTTTTTAATCTTGACGAGAAGTATTACGATATCACTATTATATGCACCTTTATGTCTCTGTTCCTTCAGATCAACATGTATAGCAGCATTTTCTTTCTGACGTGGATGAGTTTTGACAGATACATAGCACTGGCAAAAGTAATGAGGTCCAACCTATTTCGCACTATGCAACACGCCAGGCTGAGCTGTGGTCTCATATGGATGGCATCTATTTCCGCAGCACTGGTGCCATTCACGGCTGTGCACTTACAACACACCGGAGAGGTCTACTTTTGTTTTGCAGATGTAAAAGAAATCCAGTGGCTAGAAATAACCCTGGGGTTCATCATCCCCTTTGTGATCATCGGCCTTTGTTACTCGTTAATCGTTCGAGTTCTTATAAAAGCACACAAGCACAGGAGCCTCCGCCTGCGCCGACAGAAGGCTCTTCGAATGATATTCGTCGTGGTCCTGGTTTTCTTTATCTGCTGGCTCCCTGAAAACGTCTTCATTAGCGTCCAGCTTCTACAAAAGAAAAGTGAGCCCGCCTCGTCAAGCAGCCCGTCTTTCAGACACGACTACCCCTTAACAGGACACATTGTGAACCTCGCAGCTTTCTCCAACAGCTGTTTGAACCCTTTAATTTACAGTTTCCTGGGGGAAACCTTCAGAGACAAACTGCGACTGTACATTGAACAGAAAACCAAGATGTCCACGTTACATCGGTTCTGCCAGGCTGCCCTGACGTCTGTCATCCCCGACAGTAATGAGCAATCTGAGGTCTGATTTAGGGGCTGTTGTGCAGAACGTCTGACTGTGAAGCTGTGCAAATAGTGAACAAAATGCTTACTACTAACAGCAAAAAGCGTGCCCGCCTGTGTATATATTGCACTGCCCTACTGAGTACAGAAGGTTTATATTCAGGTTTTATGACAACTTTAATGTAGAGGAATATGCTATAGTCAGATTTATATTTAATTAAGAGCAGGATTATTAAAAGCTGAGCACTGAAGGAGCTTTATTTTATATAATACATGCATGAATGATAATATAGAAGAAAATTTTATCAAGCTAGTAAGACTCCAGATTTAACTTGGTTATCGGAGATGTTGTTTTGCTGGTGTATAGAAGGTACTTCCACTTAAACAACCAAACTGCAGTAAGAGTGGGGGAAAATCATTATAACACATTGATGTGGAGATGCAGAAAACAGTGATTTTTACCCAAATGTGTTAAGTTAAATGACTTTGCTTTTGAGAACTATATAGTATTATTGTCATTGTATTCCAGCATGTCTTCCACAATTAACTTCTTCTGATCTTAATATAATCTCGAATGGCGATGAGTTTTCGTCTCATAAATCTAATCTGCTGTACACATCAGCACTTGATCAAACCTGTAATCACCTGTCACTATATGGTTCATGTCAAAGAACTTAACTGCAGCAAAATGTAAAGCTTTGCTCTTCTGAGGATTCCCCGGGACAGCATTTCTCAGGATGGATATAATTGGGCTTTTTGTCAAAAAAGCAAGCACATATATACGTGCATCCACATCTCCCTTCAGACTCAAACAGAAGTCATATAAGATCTGTCTCCACTTAGCAGACCCATTCAGACGGTAGGAACAACATGCTGTGGCTTTAAAGAAGTCACATTCTGAAAAAGAGTGCAAGAATTGCTTATAAAAATGAAAAGACCCCTTTTCCTTTTTTTTTTTTTTTTTTTTTTTTAAGAAGAACTTCTGCAAAGGTGAACACACCAGGTCTGCACTTTGTGCCCTGCCCACCCCATCCCCAGAAACCACAGGTCTTGGGAACCTTAAGCTGAATGTTGGTCGCTTTGTTCATTTGAAGACAAACGATGCCAAGAAAACAAATGTTAGCACCACATGCTAGAAAACAACAGCTTCTAATTTCTTTTAGAAAATAAGTGGGTTTTAAATCTGGATGATGCTTAGTGCAGGTTACTGCTGAACTTCCCCTGAGAAAGCCATAAAGTTCCTAGAGATTTGTGCAGAGGGTCATTAAACCATCACCCAGTGCAGCTCTGAAATACACAAACTAATTCCATCTCTGCTCACCAAGTAGAGCACCAGAACTCCAGAGAATGTGATGATGTGCCCCATTTTCAAACGTCACAGATGAGCCAATTAGCACACTAAAGTTTTAAAATGTAGACACTTAAAACAACGAGTAAAGTATTAAGCAACAAAGGAAATGGTGAATGCACTCATATTTCTCACGAAATAGTCAGTTTCCTAGTGAAGTTGTAGCCACAAAAGGTTTGACCTATGTGCAGAGAGGCCTCAAGATGATGCTGCATTGGAACTAGCTGGATGTTCCTGAAACACTGAAATAGGAACAGCAGAGAGGAGTTTGCCCAGCAGCTGACCATTTCCAAGGGACTGTTAACCATCAGCTAAGGAGAAATTCCCATTTACTCCCATCTTTCTTGTAGAGCACTAATTATATTTTCTCTTTGAAAGATACAAGCACTGCCGTGCTTTTTCTGTATAGAAGCTTCTTGACAACACAGAGCAGCAAATCTCATGCTACTCCAAGATGATACATATGTCCATTTTCCCTCATTACTTTCATGATTGGAATTAACCACAATCATCCCAGTCCCAGTGCACATTAACCACCCCTCTGACAGACAGCTCTTTCAAAGAGCACAAACAAAGGAACAGATCACACTTCCAGCAATGCATTTCCAACAAGTAAGCACACAGCCCCAGCACAGCATATCAGCTTTGGGTAATCCCAGCACTTGCCATGAATAAACCAACTTCTCTGGGGTTGCAGCAAGACAGTTTCCCGAACAGGATTCCTCCACCCAACATCCTATTATATGTCTAAAAGCACATCACACACCTGAGCTACCAGAGGAGCTTCCTGCTGTTGGTATTTTGCTTCAGGTTTATGAGCTGTACCTGAAATGACTAAATTTAAACATGCTATTGTAAATAAACGACAAGTGTTGTCCCAGGTGAAAAAATGACACCTCTTCTCAGAAGTTGGTGGTGTTTTTTTTTTCTTAATGTGTAACTTAATCACATAAAGTTGCTTTCACTGCATCCTTTCAACAGTTTGAGATTTACTACACGGTGGTCGTGCAGGCATGAAAAGCAGAGACGGTCGGTCTCGAGATGAAGTTTGTTTAATTCATGTAAAGCATTGATGATGTGAATGCATGTGGCAAGGAATTCAAGTCAGTGGGTCAAACAACCCCAGATTCTGCATGGGACAGACGAGATGCAGAGAAAAACAGCCCCTTCCTTTCCCCTTCTGGTCCACAAAAAAACCAAAGGCTCGCATCCAAAAATGCTTTACCCATCCATTCAAAAGGGAACAGCTGCTACAAAGCAAATTCAAAAAGCAAAAATCTTAAAACACAATTGTCTTTTAACTGAAAAAAAAAATACCACCTCTTCTTCTATTGCCCTAATGTCATCAATTGCTGTACTTTACCAGCTGTTCATTAAGACTGCAAAAGGGAGGAGGTCACCTGGATAACTCTGAGTGGTGAGGACTGCTACCTTCTGTGTCAAAATGTGGTTTACAGGAGGTGAAAGTACACAGAATTCAACCTTGAACATGCTTTAATTCCATCTGAACTTATTTCTACATAAAAAGGAGAAACAAATGCACACACAGAAGACAGGTTTGAATGTTATTAGCTATTCATGAAGATGGATCAATGAATTCACTTGATTTTGCTTGAAAACAGGGGTGTGATTTGAATTGAGGGGACACTGCCCTTCCCTTCCAACCCAAAAGCCTTTCCCCGCTCGTTCAGAGCACCACGCAGCTGTTTGGGACTTCCAACAAAGAAGAGCACAGAGCTCAATTCATGGTTGAATTCGATCAATCGAATTATCTCTCTGCAACACAAGTTTACTCTCATGTTACCAATTACACTTCCAGCAGCCCATCGCTCCACAGCCAGACACAGACATTTCTCGTTCAGACTGTTTAGGTTAAGCTATTATTATTATTATTACATTCTGTTTATTAAGCATGTCTCCAATAAACATTTCCACTTCAGAAATGCATTTCATCTTTTTTTTTTTTTTTTTTTTTTGCCCTTAATGTTTCATCTGCAGAAACACACGATAGGAAACAAGCCATTTTTAAGATGTGTGTGCAGACCACCTTGACTGTATACTCTTAAGCTCTGTTGTCAGAGAGGTACACAGTGACAGGCAGTGACCCATGCCATGTGCTACATCTTACAGACACTGGATTTGAAACTCTGAGCACGTTTATAATTTTGATGTCTTCCCTACCATTGGAAAAATGGTATTTTCCAAACTATTTATTCTCCACTGATATACAATACATGGAAGTTTTAGCCCTTGTCTTTTAGCTTCCTTTTGGACTTCCATTCCATCACACAGCAGTGTGATACAGCCAGGAGCCAAGAAGGAACAGCTGCAGATTGAGCCAGCCACCCAAGCTGACAACAAGAAAGCAGTGCCTTCTCAGGACCTCGGGTCCTGCAGGATCAGCTCACTGCCTTTCACTCAGCATCTCGCGTGCTGCCTTGGTTATTTACATCACACAGTTCACTGCACTGCAACAGATTTCGAGATGCTTGTCTCAGCCTCATCAAGCAGCCTGTGTGTTTAGGAAGGATCCAAAGTCATTTAACTCCAGTGATAAAACCAAGCCAAGTTTTCAACCTGTTTTTCCAAATCACTCAAGCACTGTCTTCCACAAATATACACAAATTTGTAAGTCCTAAGTTCACAAACCACTGAGTTATTCATTACAAAGAAACCCCAACATTTTTGAATGCACACACCCTAAGTAAGATGTAATGCAGCAGGGTAAGCTATTCAAAAGCAATGACTTTGTTTAGAAATCTCCATGCTTTACCTGCAAGCAAAATCATTCCAAAGGCTTAAAATCTTTTCAAACTGCGCAACGAATGTTTTCTGGAAGGACTTCAGAAATACTCTGTAACAAAGGCATAATAGAGAAATGGGGAAAATATTGGGGTACTGTTAAATTATCCCTAGCAATGGCATGAAGGCTATTCTGACAGGAGTTCACTGGTTGTCTAATAGCAGCAGAGATGGATGCCTTCTGCCTCAACCACAGCAACATTTCCGTTACTGGATATTCTCTCAATAGAAACAGAAATATAATGGCAAATGAGATTTTCTTCTATTCATTCTCTTCCATTCAGAACTGAAGAGAAATAGCCTTACCTGACTACAGCAACCATTTAACTCTTGTGTGCCACTATTCAGTTACAACTGCAAATGGGGAGAAACCCAAGAAAGATCTCTCTCAGTGTTGTCCCATGCTCCAAACATCAATCTGTGGGCTGGGCAACAAGACAGAAGGGAGATGCAGACAGCAATACCTGCAAGAACTTAATTTAGAAGCTTTCTTGGCTTTCAAAGACACAAGTTCAGAAGAATTACTTCTGATATCATTAAAAGCTGAACACTCTTAGAACAGCAAGACAAGTGATGAGCTATTTCCTTACTGTGGTGCAGAAGAGGTGGTGATGTGGCACTGCAGAGGTGCCATGGATCACAAGTGCAGACCTGCAGGCTGGGAGCTGCTGACACTGAGAGCAGATGGCACAGAAGCTAAGCATGTGCTCAGCCCACAACAGGGACTGTGTGAGCATCCTTGGCATGCCTGCCCCTAGTCCCTGTGAGATTTCTGCTCCACTCAACTCTCCTTGCTACAGGGCAAAGCCTTTCAGCCTTTCAGCTCTTGGCCAGAAGGTGCTACTGTATGACCAACAGGTTTGGGACAGCTGGCCATCGCTACTGTAAACCCAAACTAGAGCATGACTTAATCCAGACCACTCTTTGTAAAGAGGGAATACATTTTAAATGAAGATAGTTCACTAACCCTAATCATGAAATAAGAACACATGGTTATTTTAATAAAGCCTTCAGAATATAAAACACAAATTGCTTAAATTTATGATTAGCTATGTCAGAATATAAAAGTAGAATAGAACAACAGTTATTAAAAACATGCATCTTCCTTGCATGCATTCATATAAACTCCATGCTCCGTTTCAGATGATGCAGCTCTAACTCTTTGGCACATTCTCTGAATGGTTCTGATGTGCTTCAAACAGAAAGGGTGTAAGGGTAGAGCTCTCCATCTTCCCCCCTGTACGTTTGCTGTTTGCAAAGCCTGCCTTACAGATGCAAATTATTAAGGTAATGCTGAAAATTCAATAAAACATTCTATGATGATCATCTGCTTCATGTCCTACAGAACTCTAGTGGGATTCAATTAGAAGTAGGGAAATGCATTCAAAGACAGGGTCTGGTTCTTTAGGTAAGAGGCTCTCCTGTCAAATACCTTCATGCTTGTACACGCAACACTTCAGGCAGCTTCTATAAGTCCAAAGATTAATTTTCTGTTCTAATTACTTGCTGGATGTAACACAAGCATTTTATAAGAATTTATTCATCTACGTGGCTTTGATCTAACACACAAGAGCCATGTTATCTATACTGCGATTTATCAATTAACATATATAAACATACACTGCTCTTTCACGTGGCTCTCAATATTGCCTCTAAATGCAAAGGGCATTTTGGAGGAGGAAAACCCTGGTGAAAGAATGCCAGTTCCTCATCCATACTGCAGAATTAGCCATTGCTGCCCCTATCTACTCAGAAAGGCTTTGTGTTGTACAATAGACTCCATCAAATAATTAGTATTTCATAAAAATTCTCATTATGCCCATTTGGTTTTCAAAAGCAGCAGCATTCTGTCAATTCTGTCATTCTGGGAAAGCTGCTGATTTTAACAGTGACCTTACTTTAAGCATTCAAGTCTGCGACTTTTTTCTTTTTTAGATAAATTAACATTTATAAAACTGTACCCAGAAGCAATCAGGAGGAAGGAGCAGATGCACAGGACTCAGTCTGCAGTACAGGGCACACACTCCATGCCCCCAGCCCTGTCAAGAGCAATACGTAGTAAACATTTATCCTTTTAAGCTTACGGTGTAACTTGTTGCCAAGTAGAATGTTTTGAGAATTCACACATGTATAATCAGATGTATTTTATTCTTGCTGAACATCTACTTATTTCTGAGGATTGGGACCTAATCTTTTATATTAGGTAATTCAGGCCTTTTCGAGCAGTTTTCACTCTATGATGAACTAGAACCAGAAACAGAGAATGAGTAAACAAAACCACAGTTGACAAAGGCACGACAGCAGTGTCCTCAATTGAGTGGAGTTGGGTGGCACACACTATCACCTGCCCCTGCTCCTGACCTCCCTGACTCTCAGCATCCACAGAAGCTTCAGCCATCAGTGGGAACCCTGTGTTGAGCTCCAGTTTCCTGAAAATACGTGCAGCTAAGTCATGAAAGCAAAGATTTATATTGGAAGCCTAGCAAGAACAGTCAAGGAAAGTTCTCACCACTGAGTAAAGAGCGAGAGCTGAAAGGAAATGTCAGTTGTGCTCCAAGAAGAGAAAGAATTTCCCCTCTTTGTGGCAAACCAGGAACGGTTGTGTTTCACCACTGAACTCCCATCACCTCCATTCCTGGGTATGAGGAAAAGTAAAGAACTAAATTTGAACGTATACAGGTTAACGCAAATACCCAGAGAGAGCACAGCACTCTTGCTGGTTAGTATGTGCTGAAAAATGCACAATTCCTTTAAACCAAAGTAAGAAATGCACCACGCATTGTTTATCCCAAACACAGTTGGGGACGTGAGCCTTTCGCCTGGGAAAACCATCTTCAAAGCAGCAACTGTTTTCCCAGCTGTGAACACTCTTTCCTGGGAAATCTACTCGTACCATTACAAAAATAATTTTCAAAGGAATGTGAAATTATTCTGCCTAATCTATGCATATCCGTATTTCAGACATTATTTTGTACCTTCTTAGACATGTTTGTTTACAGAAGGCCTCGTATTCCCTACAAACACGATGTGGTGTGACAAAAAAATTTACTTCTTTTAAAAGATAAATAAACACGCGGTTAATTCAATCAAATAATTTGTACCAACTCTACCGATATTCTAAGTAAGAAGTGTTAGCAGGAAGCAAATAGCTCTGTCCCATAAGCAGCTGCCCTCTGAGTTTGTTTTTTTATTCCCTTTCCCCTAATTTGAATATCATCGCATAGATATTAAGAAAGCAGACAAAACACGTAGGATCCCACACAGCAAGTCACAAATGGGCTCCCAGTTCGGTAATTGCTTTCAGCAATCAAAGGGCTGTCCTGTGGAGCAGCAGGCAGAAGCTCAGGGCCAGCAGGCAGGCCTTGGAGCAAGGCAGAGAATGACTGAAACCAGCAACCAGCAGAAAGGTAGGCCAAAGGAGAGAGAAATGGGCCCATTGC